AACTTCGAACATTTTGACACCATACACACGATCGGAACACACACAGTGATCAACTCAAAGGGTACAGTAGCTTTTGCAAACATTGACATCATATGCCCACAGAAATCAGATCAGCATTACCTATATCTGAAGATAGACTCTGGGGCAAGCGCTAATACTATCACAGTACGCACAGCCAAACAAATATATGGTGACAAGTGGAGGCAAGTAGTGAAACGTACACCAGTAAAGCTAGTAGCATATGGCGAAATATCAATACCATGCGTTGGTACACTAGACATAAAGTGTAGATACAAGAGTCCAGAATGGTATACACATACATTCTACGTAGCAGACGTGAATGGACCAGCTATCTTAGGGTTGTTAGGTTGCACAGATCTCGGGATTATCACAATCCACACAATGCACAAGGACACACCTACACATACACCTATCACAAGTGTTAGTGACCTCAAACAAACATACCCAGATCAGTTTGATGCCATAGGAAGCTTTAGCGGGAAAGCAATGCTGCATCTGAAAGATGATGCAGAGCCAACCATAGATGCACCTAGAAAGTGCAGTGTCCATCTGAAGGACAAGATCAAAGCCGAACTAGATAACATGGAGAAGCAAGGAGTCATCAGAAAGATAGAAAACCACACAGATTGGTGTAGCTCGATGACCACCGTTGTGAAGAAAGATGGATCCATACGGATATGTCTTGACCCCAGAAGGTTGAACGATGCCTTGAAAAGGTGTCCACACAAAATTCCAACCTTGGAAGAAATCCAACCAATCTTCGCAGGAGCTCAATTCTTCTCCAAGCTAGACGCAAAGGCTGGATACTGGTCAGTACACCTAGCAGAGGAATGCCAAGACCTGACCACCTTCAGAACACCATTTGGAAGATATTGTTTCCAAAGATTACCCTTCGGCTTATGCACAAGCCAAGACATCTTCCAGCAACACATGGATAGGATCGTCCAGAATGTGCCTGGCTGCGTATGTATCGCAGACGACATTGCCATTGTCGGGAAAACAGAGGAGGAACTACGACGGATACCGGATATATCGGATATCGTATATCGTAACACTCCCCATAGCCATAGGACTCAGGAGCTCAGTGTTATTAGACCGAAAGCTTCAGTCTCTCTAATCGTCGGTTGTTCCACTGAGACTACGTCTGGCTCCACTAGACCTCCGATTATGACAACAAATGTCAGTTTTATTAAAGAAATGACCCAAATCAGATGGTTATTGCTGTCTAAGTGTTATATGCTCTGGCTCCTAATGGTTAGGAGCCAGAGCATATAACACTGAGTTCCCATAGGACATATATTCATTCGGATGGTCATAACTCTGCCAATATTTAACATATTCAATTGGTTTTCCACATTTGGAAATTATTTTTGGTCTTCTTTCGGAATATGAAGAAAAAATTGAGAAATTCTAAAAATAGATTTTTGATGACGTCACACTTCACCAATCTATAGAGACTGAACGATCGCCTATGCCAGCCTATGTTGAAGATATCACGGCTAGATTTTAGCCACTAGGCCCCTCCCACAAACATGAACAAACTTGCCACGGCCGTATTGTTATGCCCCCAAAATCCCCCAAAATGTCATTTTAACTCGTCCATATCCAATTTTAAATTAGGCCTAGGCTATAATACATCGGTTCCACTTACTAACTTGATTGAAATAATCCGTTTAATGGTCCCTTTTAAGGAAATTATGGGTCAAAATCCACATCCATGTTGAAAATCTTGCAAGCCGTGATGGCCTGTAAAATCATCCCCCCTGATATTACAAAAAAAAAGAGAAAAAAAGGAAGAAGAAGAAGAAGAAAAAATGTGATTGTTTCAATTTCAGCATAATGCATGAGAAATTAGTTATTTTTTTATGTATGTATAACTGTATAGCCTACACGTATACAGTATGTCACCATCATTAAGAGTAGTTGCACGACGTGCGCGAACAAGCACTTCATAAACTTCAGAATAATTTTGCGTTATTTTGCAAGGTATTGTAGCCCAGACGTAAAGTGCGCCAGCGCGCGAGCGCTTAAAAAGTGCAATCATGTACAGTAGATGCCCGGCTCCCACTAAGTGTTTTTTAGGGAACGCGTATGCTCGTTCCCTCCCTTTAAAAGCACCCCCCCCCCCTACCCTATCTCAGGACTGCCAACATTTCTGAATCCCCCTTTCGCCGGCTTTTCGCTGGCTTTTCCTGCCTTGGAGACCCCCCCCCCAAAAAAAAAAAATTAAAAAATCTGGAACACTGCTAAATGTACCACACCCCTCCCCCCCAATTTCAGGTGAGCTCTAGTCGATCGAGGGGTCTGGGGGCCAATGCTTTTACTTTTCGAAATAATCCTGAATGAGCTTTCAAAGCTAGCAGGAATTTCAGGAATTTGATCACGGGATTTGATCAATTTTTCTATGATATTCAAGATATTTTATAACCTCCTTTTTACATTTCTCAGGAGTCCAAAGAGAGAGAGGAAACCCCCCCCCCCTTTTTAAAGAAATTAAGAGTCGAGAATGGTACAACGAATCGTCTTCTGTCTCTAATGATTTAATGAAACGTAAAAGTTTCTGCGCTTTGCGCAGGAGGGGGGAAGGGAAAAACTAAATTCAAATGAGGATTAAAAGTCGAGAACGGTACAACAAATCGTCTTCTTTCTCTAATGATTTAATGAAACGTAAAAGTTTCCGCGCTTCGCGGAGGAGGGGGGAAGGGAAAAAACTAAATTCAGATGAGGATTAAAAGTCGAGAACGGTACAACGAATCGTCTTCTTTCTCTAATAGTGTTTGTTGTTTGTTCGTTTGTGTGTGTGTGTTGTTCGCTTGTATGTGTGGGTGTGTTGTGTGTTGTGCGTGCGCGATCTAAGGCTGTGCACAACAGTGTAATGAGGTACCCGAGTACACTCCCATGCTTACAAGCGAATACTCGAGTATTCGGACACCTTGTTTTTTTAAAAAAAAATTAAATTTTTTTTTGAATTTTTTTGAATTTTTTGATTTTTTTTGGATTTTTTTTGGATTTTTTTTTTTTTTTTTGCCACCACCATACATACCACTGGAGCAGTATCCCAGTTCTGTCGCCGAAAACGCATGCAATTTTACTTTGAGTTGCAGTTGAAGGCGCCGATTTAATAATAATAATAACAGTGAACAATGCTGTTTTAAAAACCAAAGATGGCAGAATAATCCATTTTCCTCCAAGTCCAAGCAGAAATCCAGACATTTGGTCCCAGTTTCTGAGTAGTGAGTTTGACAGTGCTTGAGTTGGGAAACATTTTTACCGACGGCACCATGCCAGCAGCCGCCGCTCACCCAGGCACGGGTAAGCGTCGGCCTGGACATTTAAATTTTTTTTTTTTTTTTTTTTTTTTTTTTTTGCGGCCGAATATTTGGGTACGAGAAATCGTACCCGAGTAGTTGTCAACCGTGCGGGTACTCGAGCATTCGACTACCCTTCACAGCCTTAGCGCGATCGCGCGCACTTGCGTAAATTAGTGTGGGCATGTGCTCGTGCTAGTATGTGATGGCTATCGCCGATCATCCCCCCCACTCCTCGGTACGGATTTACGCCCCTGGTTTCAACTACCGTCTATTTGGGAATAATTTTGACAAACTGGCAATTTTTATCCCTCTTATTTCTTCAACCCTGTGTATTTTGTTCACTGTGCTGCACTATGCCCATTGATGTGTTGTGCACAGCATCCAGCTTCCAGTACAGTTTCTGTTTTCGTTGATGGCTAACTAAAGTACATAATCAGGTGGGCTGTATAACGTACAGACCACCTTATAATTTCGTTAGAATTGCCTTTATTATTTATTTATTTATTAAATATTTTTCTTATTTCTAACCACTTTTTTGTTAGCAAGATAACTTGAAAATGGCTCGATCAAATGCCTTGAAATTTGGCACACATATGTATAGGTATATGTACAAAGCACAATAACGTTTTCAACATTGACCTTCACTGATTACGTCATCTAGGCGCCATTTTGTAAAAAACAACTCATGATCATATCTTCATAACCAAAAGCTATTTCTCATTCATATTTATCATGATCGAGGTCAATATCCGTCCGGTCAATTTCAGGTCAAATAACGCGCACGTGCGCGTACGTCCGCGCGTCAATGCGCGCGCAAAATGTTAAAATGCTCAAAATCGTCTCAAAATCATTTTCCATACGTTTTAGGCCATTCTAAGCATTTTATAAAAAATCGCTCACGCACGCATGCGCGCGCGTCAAACTATTACACAACATAGAATCGCCATTTTTTTTCTTTCATAATATTGCACATATTTTTACAATTAAATTGATACCATGTTTATCTCTTTATGACTATTAATAACGGAATGATCACCTGTTTAACATAAATTTCCGTGCGCGCGAGCTCTTGTAATACATATCCAGAGCTGCCAACTAGTACGGATTTTCCGTAATTGGTACGGAAATCAACGGCAATTACGGAAGCACGGAAACCCCTTCAAAAATTACGGATTCCCCGATTTCTGGACATGCCTATGTATTAACACATGCATTATGCATATGCGAGTGTTTTAGCGGTAATGATCGCGATACTTCCCGGGCCTCGGCCCGGTGGTTAACTTTTGAGCGCACGGAAATATCATCCGCGCCTCAGCCACGACCACTGCACACACATGTAGCTACCATCGAAAGATATGTACACCGCCCTGCCTATATGGGCTGCGTGTGCTAGCTTTCAGCATGCAATATATATCGGGGAGACGGCAAACTCGTCCCAAGTCCATTTAGCCACCTTGCAAACCAACCCGTACGGTACCATGTCCATGTGTAGTTTATAGCAGGTCTACAATTTTTTTCCCCTTAGTGATGGGTTCTCATTGTTATGATAATAAAAGTACGACTCGACTAATGATGAAGATGATGATGATGATGATGATGATGATAATTGTCATAAGGAAAATGAATGTACTTCCTTGATTAAACTTGAATTTATATTCAACAATTATTGTCATTGTGTTTTATTTCACATTATTTGTTGGATCATGTTTATTCATTTCATTTTATTCATATACCCCTTTTCATTGTTGATAACAAAATATGATACACGAATAAATTTTGAATGAGCTGACACACAAAGTTTTGACCGATACGAAAGCGCATGCATGGTGGATGTGCTGAAACAAGTGGCACGATATTTATCTGGGCGAAATATGCATTGGCCGAGTGTTACACTACCGCATGTGCAGCAGGTCGGCCGTGGTCGCGTCAAACTTCGAGTAACCGACGGAGAAAAATGACTTCAACTTCATCGAAGAAGCGTTCTAAAAAACTGCAAACCTTCTCAGGTGATTACACCAAGAAATGGTCATGCATTGTTCCGTCGAAAAGGAATACAAACAGTGCCTGTTGTACACATTGCTCATCCGATTTTGGAATTGGTCATGGCGGTTCGAACGATATCCAGGTACATCTGAAGTCGGTGAAGCACCGGACTGCAGCGGCGGAGGCAAGTTCCAATTCCCGCAGTCATGACATCGCCCAGTTTTTCGTCGCAAAGGACAATTCTGTCACGAACGCCGAAGTGAAGTTTACTCAATTTTTGATAGAGCACAACATCGCGTTTTCAGCAGCAGACCACCTTTCACAACTTGTCAAAAATGCCTTCCCTGACAGTAAAATTGCAAGTAAATACGCGTGCCGTCGCTCCAAGGCTACAGCAATCGCAAGAACTTTGGGACAGGAAACAAAAGGTAAATAAATATTGAAAATTGCATTTTAGATTTAAAGGGAATCTACTGTCGTGGGAAAAGTGACAAAAGTTATTGTGAGCTTCCAGATTAATATCATGGCATGCTATTTAGGAAGAATATTATAATAAAAAGGCCCACTGTCAATGATTGCTCTTAAATTGTTCTCATACATGTACATGTAGTCGTAATAATAATATGACAATAAACAGCTGAAATGTGCGGGCCGCACAGTTGAATGTAGTCCCATACATGCATTTCTGTGTGCAGTGCATGTGACTCTCATCATAATTGAGTTAATTTCTTATTATTTTGGTCATTCCAAAACCTTATAGCATACAACAATTCTTAGTTGAAGTGTAATCAACCTTTCCCAATCACTCAGAGAGTTTCTTCCACAATTAAATTTCACGACCACGACAGTAATTTCCCTTTAAATTGAACATGTGAAGTACATAATGGGAATGAAAGCCAGGGCTCTGTCTCAAAAAGAAATGACAATTATTAACCTAAAAAAATTATTGTGTGTAGATTAGTTGTAGTCTGTAGAATTTGAAGTTAGATTAAAAGTAAAGACACTATGATTATCACAATTGTTGTGTTATTGTTAAATAAATGCTCAGGTCAGAATAACATAATTTTATATTGCTTGCTTACTTAATGGTTGTGTGTATCCCTTCTCGCCATGCCCATTGTAAGCATTTAATAAAAAATTATAAGAAATAAAATTCAAATTTACACAACAATGTCCCCTTTGACTTTTTTTGGTGCAGTCAATTATCAAGATTTAGATCATGTCGCTACAGTACAGGTGTTGATATATGTACTATGTTTGCCAATTGTGCCGATAGGCTTTAACTGTGCACAATATTCCCCCCCCCCCCCACTAAACGCAAGTGGTATGCATCTGTTCTCAATGGGAAATGCACATGTATATTAAATTTAAAAAAAAAAATTTGTTCTGTCATAAAAACCAATGATCAATATAATTAAGTTTTTACCTGTTAATTCCTCACTTCTGTAAGGGAGACCTTGCCCTGTGCATGTTGAACACGTTATAATGCTTAGTAAAAACAGATATCTAATGCATGAACTAGGGAATGTGAATATGCTTATCCACATTTATCAACAAATTTTATCTGACCTGATCGTCATAATGTACATGTTTTCCCTTTTTACATTGCAGGGGACATCATCCGCAAGATACGTGAGAAGCCCTTCTCAATTTCGACAGATGGGAGCTCCGATAGGGGGGCAGATGAGCAACTCTACCCCATACTTGTAAGATACTTCGATGATGATGCACAACATGTTGTGACCGTTCTCTTAGAAATAGCGACAACAAAGGGGAGTTCCACAGGGAAAAATATCTTCCAACTTCTTGATCAAGCACTCACAGAGAACAAAATTCCATGGAAAAATGTTACATGTTTTTCTGCTGACAACGCGGCTGTAATGATGGGAGTGCACAACGGGGTTGCTGCTTTTGTGAGAGAGAAGAATCCTGAAGTGTATGTTAATGGCTGCGTATGTCATTTGCTTCACCTAGCAGCTGAGAAAGGGGCCCAGCAACTTCCATCAAGTCCAGTTGATCTCCTGATACCAATCTTCTACTACCTAGAGAAATCTAGCAAGAGGCACAAGGCATTCCGTGAAGTGCAGTCATGCTGTGATGTCAAGCAACATGCAATTCTTAAGCATGTGTGTACCAGGTGGTTGTCCTTGGAGCAGGCCTTGAACAGACTTATTGAACAATGGGTTCCTCTGGTTGAGTTCTTCCGGAGTGAATCTGAAACTTCATCATCTTCTGCGCAAAAGAAGAAGAGTGTCCAGTCGAAGACTACAGCTAAAAAGGTTCAACCACAACCCCAACCCCAGAAAAAGAACACTGGAAATGCCAAAGTTTCTGTGACCAGTTCTAAGCCTGTGTCTGGAAAGGCAAGCACAAGTTCTGAATCATCATCTGGAACAAAGAGAAAGATTGAAGACTCACATCAGAATAGAGGGAAACAGCTAAAACCTTCTAGTAGCCATCAAGTCCATCAACCATCCCAGAAGAAGAGCTCTGGCTATATAATTCCCCATATTGCCAAAACTTCAAGCTCAAAGCCTGCATTGGGAAAATCAAGCACAACTCCTGCATCTGTGTCAAAGGCATCAACGAGTAAAAGTTCCCCTGTGGTCACAAAAACTTTGTCTTCTCATGGTACAGCTCCAAGTACATCTGCATTTCCCTCTACTTCTTCTATTGGGAAGAAAGCCAGTGATGTGACCAAAAAAGACCTCCCCAAAGGAACCAAAGTTGGATCAGGAAAGGTGAAAATGCCACCCCCAAGATCAAGTTGGGCTCCATCATCACAGAAGACAGGTCAGGTGTTTGCAGGCACAGAGCATGCTGTGAGCAAGACCTCCCAAGAAGTCCCAGCAACGTCTAAGGCAGCTGCTATCTATGACAAACTGACAAATGATGAGAATAAACTATATTGCTTATTTCTCCAGCACAACATTCCTTTGTTCACTGTACTGAATTTAGAGCTCCAAGAAGAATCACCCAAGATTCATGTTCTACTTGATAGACTTCAGGCCTTTCTTCAAAATGTTTTGACAAGATTTGTTAAGCCTAAAGTGCTGATGGCATCGTCTCAAGAGTGTGACTACAAAACAAATGACAATCAGCGTGAAGACAACGACTTGGTGATTGGTTCTAAAGTGAGAGAGTTGCTTCAAAGCGGAAACTTCAGTGATGGCCAGAAGAGGAAGTTCTTCTCATCCGTGAGTACTATATATCAGTCTGCAACTATGTTCGGAGCAAATTTCCGTTGAAGGATCCACTTCTCATGCATGCTAGAGTGGCCAATCTTGAAAGGCGACAGGAAACGCCCTTTGTGTCAGTGGAGTATTTTGTTCGGAGATTCCACTTCATGGAAGATGATATTGACACACTTGAACTGGAATATGCCTCCTACCAGAGTGATCCTTCCGTGGACAAGATTGATGCTTCAAAAGCAGACTTGGCATGGGTGGCAGTATCTCAGCTCAAAGATCCCACCAGTGGGCAGTTTCGCTATGCTCATCTAGTGCAAGTCATGATGCTGATTCTTTCGATATCACACAGTAATGCTTCAGATGAGAGGCTGTTCAGCTTGGTGAGGAAGAACAAGACCGAGTTTAGGGCCAGTTTGAGTACTGCAACATTGAGTGATGTTCTCACTCAGAAGGCAACATGCCAGTCCAAAGGACAAAACTGTCATGACATGAAATTCAGCGATCAACTGCTAACCAAATGTAAGGGAGCTGCAATGGCTTTCTGCAAACAGTGATAAACTATTATAACCAAATGTAAGGGAGCTGCAATGTGTTTCTGCAAACAAGCAAGCTACAGTGTGACTGGACATTTATGATTTGCACATATTATTACATGCAATTCAGTGATAAACTCTTAACCAAATGTAAGGGAGCTGCAATGTGTTTCTGCAAACAGTGAGAAAGCAAGCAAGCAAGCTACAGTGTGACTGGACATTTATGATTTGCACATATTATGACATGCAATTCAGTGATAAACTCTTAACCAAATGTAAGGGAGCTGCATTGTGTTTCTGCAAACAGTGAGAAAGCAAGCAAGCAAGCATACAGTGTACGTGACTGGACAGTTATGTTACTTAGGTAAGAGTTGTTCCATTATGTTTGTAGAGCCTCTATGTTAATTGTAAAAACCTGAAGTGAATATACACACGTAAGTGAAACAGGGTAATGATACATCAATCCTCTAATAACCATTGTTTTTTTTATAGCACTTAAAATGATGTTATAAACAGAATGCTCTTGTTTTTACTTCAAGTCCTGTCATTCAGAGTGATGCTATTACCATGGTACTAGTAGTTTGTGTTGTGGTGTTGTGTGCAGCTCTACAATGTACGTGCAAATGCAGTCTTCTTGATGTTGAAAGCGCCGCGCTTGAAATTACTGATTTCCATCCAAAATTACTGATTTTTAGCTTTCAGATTACTGATTTTGGTTTCAGAGGTTGGCAGCTCTGCATATCATAAATGGGCAAAAAGATGCCTATACAAAATCCATTGTAGCTCTTTAGGATGCAAGGTGACCCCAATTTTTGTCTTCTTATTGTGATAGAATATGAATTGGAGATATGATTTCAAGTCTCATTTGACCCTTACTTTTCTCATGACGTCATCATAATGGCCTCCGAACTCATAATTTCAATTTGCATATTATGATGTCAGCATATTTTTCAAAAATTGATTGCATCTCTGTAAATATTGATCGATTTTCTTCCAAATTTCGATATGTTCTAGCTGAGACAATTCATTACAAATGTAGTTTACAACATTTTTCATTTTTGACAAAGGAATCATGGCGTATTTTTGCGATTAAAGGAGGCATGTCAATTTTTCACTTTTTGCGTGTATTCTCTATGGGACATGACTTTTTCTCAAAACTGGATTCTACATTCCCGTCTTTCGCGAGCAATATCTCCGTCGTTTTAGCTTCGTTTACGCTGAACTTTGAGTATGATGTAGCTGAGACAATTAGCTATCTCAAATGTGCCCTTCATTTTGTCTAAAATTTTAGTTGGACCAGCCCACCTATACTTGTTCTAAACAAGTATTACAAATCTAGTTTATTTTTCTTATTTTGAACCACTTTTTTGTTAGCAAGATAACTTGACAATGGCTCAATCAAATAATTTGAAATTTAGCACACATATGTATAGGCATTTGAACAAAGCAAGGTAAGGTTTTTAACCTTGACCTTGACTGATGACGTCATCTAGGCGCCATTTTGTGAAATTTTCTGAAAATAAACTCTTGATCATATCTTCATAACCAAAGGTTATTTCTCATTCATATTTATCATGATCAAGGTCAATATCAGTCCGGTCAATTTCAGGTCAAAAAATGCGCGCGTGCGCGTACGTCCGCGCGTCAGTGCGCGCGCAAAAATTTTATATGCTCAAAATCGTCTCAAAATCATTTTGGATACGTTTCAGGTCATTTTAAGCATTTTATAAAAAATCGCGCGTACGAGCATGCGCGCGCGTTTTCGCGCGTAACACCATTACAAAACATAGAATCGCCATTTTTTTTTCTTTCATGATATTTCTCATATTTTTTCGAGGATTTTGATACCATGTTTATCTCTTTATGACCATTAATAACAAGATGAGCGTCAATTCAAGATAAATGTCCGTGCGTGCGAGCTCTTTTATTACATAGTATATATGGGCAAAAGCATGCCTATACAAAATCCATTATAGCTCTTTGGAATGAACTGTGACCTTCAATTTGTTTTCATATTTAGATAAAGTATGAGTCAGAGATATATGATTCCATGTCTCATTTTGCCATTAAGTGTATCATGACATCATCATAATGGCCTTGGAACTCAAAATACGAATTTGCATATTATGACGTCAGCATATTTATGTAAAATTAATTGTATCTCTGTATATATTGATCGATTTTCTTCAAAATTTTGATATGTTGTAGCTAAGATAATTCTCTACAAGTTCAATAGTAATCATTTTTCATTTTGATGACGTCATCAGAGTAAAAATTTCGATTAAAGGCCTCATGTCAGAAATTTCACAATTTGCGTGTTATGACTATAGAAGGTGAATTTCGTTCACGTAATGAATCTACATGATATTGTTTATGAATTTTTAAGTAGTTTGTCGCTTATTTTTGCTCTATTTTGTTTTAAATTTTAGTTGACCAGCCCACCTATACTTGTTCCAAACAAGTATTATATGTCTAGTTATTACTGTTTTCGTTTATTCATAACTCAAGTTCATATTATCGTTCTATTCTAGATAACCATGGACAAGACTGTCACCCATGATGGTAAGAAAGCAAAACATATATTCAACATTTTAAATTGAAAATATGTTAAGACTACATTGCATGAATATGTAGGAAAATCTACTATAGCTGAGTAATGAACAAAGAAAATTCTGTCCAAAGAATTAGGTTGGTTAAAGGTAATACAAAGTTTTGGGAAATTTGAAAATTGGCTGGATAGTAAGCAAATAACTACCGTTGGTGAAGGTGATGGGACAAACTATCACTTCCGAGGCGATTTGGATGTAGCTACATGTATCTTTCCGAAGCGAAGCTGAGGAAAGATAACGTATACATTCTGATCGACGAGGAAGTGATAGTTTGCCATCGCCTGAAACCAAAAGGTGATTATTTGCTTTATATTCCACATCTAAAAACAATATAACTACAACAAGAAAAGGACGTGTATGCATCTACATGAAAGACACCAGGCCCAAATTCACACCAAAAAGGTTAAAAGTTTAACCCAACCCCTTGAGGGTACAGTGCGCGCATGTGTTTGCTTTAATTGCGCTCATTGGTAATGCGCGCTTAATTACGCCTATTTTAGTGCGCTTTTGGATAATCTTCAGTGAAAGTGCATTGCCCTTTGTAGATAGTACCTTTATCTTCAGTAAAAGTGCGTTGCCCTTTGTAGATAGTAGTACTATCTACAAAGCGCAACGAACTTTTTGCTTCTCCCATCAATGATGGGCGAACTATCTTTGATCACGTGATTTACTTATGACCAATCGTAGAGCAAGATTCTTAGTATGTGGAATATAATGATTCTTAACAATTTTGATATATTTGGATGCTCCTGGGGATGTATTATAAGCATTAAAAAAAATAGCCCCCGCAAGAACACACTTCTGCATTAAAAATTTACCAGTGCTCCCGGTAAATTTGATGAATTTCAAATAGCGCTCACGGCCATACAATTGTAGCTGCAACCATAAAAATCTCAGAATATGTAGTTGTGATATATAATTTCCAAAATGGGAATATAGCCAATCGGTTGATTTTAGTCAAAAACAATTGCTTCAGGGCCTAATTAATATCTTGACCTTGAGAGGGAGCTATACAACATAAAGAGTTTATTATTTATAATTTCATAACTTTAGACTCAATTTCAACCGCGACAACGATCACTGAATATTGTAAGACCGCATATGCTTCTAATATGTTCATTTGAACTAAATTCATGACCCCATACCAAAACTTTGTATTACCTTTAAACTGTTCTTGGTATTTTTTACTGGTATGTTGCTCTTCAGAGCACTGCAAAAAATTTTTTTTTGTTTTTTTGTTGCCTGTATCTCTTGCAAATGAAGTTCCATTGAAATGTTAATGACATGAGAGATACTTTATTTATTGACCATTGAGATTTAGGCCATAAGTATAACAATCTCATAACCTACATTGTAAATGGAAATGGGTGGGGGTCATTTACTAAACTTTGAGAAAGTTGAGTTTTTGTTTGTCTTACTCTGGTTGCGAAATATTGACATATACATATATGTATTTTGTATATACATGCCTGTTCCAATAAAAACCTGTTTTCTTCTTTTATTCTAAATTCAAGGGATGGCAAATGAGGAAGAAGAGGCCAGTTCCATATTACTTCCAGCGGAAAGGTACATAAGTTGATAGTATAATAACTTGAAAATGCATCAAATGATGAAGGAGTTTTGCACTTAGACTCGACAGATTTTGAGAAACATAAAGTATTTGCATTATAAATCAACTCATTTGCTGGTTTGACACTTTGAAACAAATGTTACCAGGCACCCCCCCCCCCCCCCCCCCCCCCCCCCTCCCTCAGTACTTACCAGTAAAGAATGAAAATCTGAACTGAAGTATTAAATAATAATAATAATAATAAATTAATAAACAAAATAAAAATAAGAAAAATAAAAACACTAACATCTATGAATTGGAAACATATTGAAAATTCCCAATTTTTCCACACAAACTTTCAAACGTAGTAGTATTCCATTTGCATCAACATGCCTTCAGACTTCTGGTATAAAAGGCAAATACAGGTGTATATACTTTATGCATCTGTGGTTCACATAGACCAGTATACTACAACATGTCAGGTAGAAATATAAAGACATTTATTTTCATGAATCCACTTTGCCAAAGAACATAGATTTGATGAAGTACTGTCAACCTCGCACAAGTCAACCTTGTATATATGTCAAATAACTGCCTAAGCATTATAGAATAATTTCATACCATCAAAATTCAATGAAGGATCGTCTTATCAAATTTTTCCCTCTACGTAATTAGTGAACAAGAATTAAATTGTTTTTGTTTCTTTTCAGTTGGGATTTTGGAATGTGTTCCAGGCAGGATGCCGAGAAGAAGTTGATGGCCATTGGTATAAATAAAGGCCAATTCATTGTAAGGGATAAAGACCCTGGTAAGAAAACAAAAATCAATCATCAATAGTTAAGTCATTAAGTGCTTGATATAAAAATTGGTTTTAATTCAAAAAAAAAGAGAAAAAGAAGTAAAAACAGATTGTTGGAAGAATTAAGTTTTGCATGGTGTAAACCTGAAAACTTTAAACTATAATTCAGATTGGTGAAGATTTTTGAAAAACCAATCAAAAATAAATAAAAACCAATTTAAAAAAAATTGTAACTCAAATTTGAAAGACTGACATACATGAAAATGTATGTCACAGTCTAAAGTTCAATGAGCATCCCTCCCACTTGCTTATCATTGGATATTTTGTAAATTTCATTGTCATGGTTTTTAATGAAGAACAACATATTTTTGAGGGTGTATTTAAGAGGGGGTGTGTAAAAATTTGTGTAAAATAGTAAATGTACATGTATATTTAGGGCAGGGTGCATGCGTAATCCAATATTCAGAAAATTCCGACATTTATTAAATTTTTGGTGGTAAAGAATAAAATGGAGAGTTGGGCGAAAATTGCACAGAGTTTCCAGTTTATACGTGATCGGTGGCAAATATAAAATCACCCATTTATTTCCTAAATGGACCATTTGAAGAATTGTTTAAATTAAGTACATACATCAGTATGTTAATAATATGCTAGCTGAAAATCTTTGTGGTATCTGAACTTTAGTCTTCAGGCTTTTGCCAAGTTTTTGTCTGTTTCTATTATGAATAAAATAAGAAATAAATTGAAACACTGATTGTTTCAGGTACCTTCGAGCTGTCTGTGAGAGATAACGACCCTCAGAAGGGAGATCATGTCAAGCATTACAAAATACATCAGCAGGGCAGAGGTAATGGCTTCTTCATCTTTCAAGGAAGTGTCTTCCCAACGGTCTCAGAGCTGGTTCGTCACTACCAGAGTAAGTAAAGCAAGGTCCTTATACTATGGTCTACCCATTCCCTACAGGAACCGGGTGATCCCTGTATTAAAACCTATGGGAAGGAGAGAATGCAGTAGCTATAGAGTTAACTCTCTCCAGTTGATGTCCCTGTGCTATTGTACATGTAGATGTATTGATCAATATGTACCAGTAGTTTCACCTTTATAGGCTTTGAGGTTTTTTGAAAATTTCCAGAAAAAACTACTATTTGCAAGCAATTGAAGGGTTATCCTGTAGTGAATTAGAAATGGGGTAATTCACTCGAAGCTTCAAAAACACTACACAGGTTAATGCTACATAATAATAATAATAATATAATACTCAGTTTTTATATAGCGCTTATTAGAATCACTAAGCGCTTCCAAACTTGGAGATTATTACATGTACCATTGAACTGGTGAAGTTGATGATCTGTTTGGATGGGGTTGATTGGGGGTGTAATGACTTATTGGAAAGTCTGGACCAGCCTGCATAGTTAATTATTATTAGTCCAGTCAGAGAAATTTTACCTTTTGTGAAAGACTCTATGCACATGTACAGTACTTCGGGCTCATGGATTTTGGGGCATAAAACGTTTGTGAATTCTTCATTACTAGCAGAATTTGTGAAAGGTTGAAAATGTCTGGTTTACTGTTCCTTTAATTTTCTCTTTGCTCTCTCTTTTCATTTCTCTTGTTGTCTCTCAGGTAACATCGGCCTATGCTGCATCTTGACCGAAGCTTGTCCGAAGGAGAACCCTAACACCATCGGTCTCGGTAAGGACAAATGGGAGATCCCTCGTGAGTCTCTCAGGTTGACCAAACAAATCGGAAAAGGACACTGTGCTGAGGTCTGGAAAGGTAGGTGTTTCATTTTTAATTTGTTACAATTATGCCTCAGTACGAAGTACATGTAGCTGGAGGCATTATGTTTTCGGGTTGTCCATCCGTCCGTACATACGTAGGTATGTCCCGTTCTCGTGATCGCGTTATCTCAAAAACTATTCGATGGATTCCTGCCAAACCTAAGTCATGTATGTATCTTGCAGAGCCAATGAATTGATTAGATTTTGGGGTCACAAGGTCAAAGGTCACAATGCTCATTATGTATGCAAAAATAGCTGGTGATGGCGTTATCCCAAGAACCGATCAGTGGATTCCTGCCAAACTTAGGCCATGTATGTATCTTGCAGAGCCAATGAATTGATTAGATTTTGGGGTCACGAGGTCAAAGGTCAAAGGGCTCATTATGTATGCATAAATAGCTGGTAATCACATCATTAGAACCGATGGACAGATTGCCATCAAACGCAGGACATGTATGTATCTTGCTGAACCAATGAACTGATTAGATGTTAGGGTCATGAGGTCAAGATAAAAGGGTCATACATGTTTATAAAAAATAGCTTGTAATCATGATATTCTGAAAACCTGTTAATGGATTACAATTAAACCTGAATTTGAAAAATTGCTTCTATTTTGGTTTGTGAAATCGCTCTATGGCGTAGGTATCATTTTTGACTACATACTTAAGTATGTAATTTGGTTATTAAAGATATATTCCTGCAACAATTGGTAATAGCTTATTGCTATAACCCAGGTCTAAAATCCTTGAAAAGTTGGTCCACATACGGACCATGAGTTTCTTTAAAAAGCACAACATCCTCTCTGATACTCAATATGGCTTCCGAGAAAAGAGTAGCACTACCCATGCAATACTTTCTTTAGTTCAAACAGTTGCCAAAGCTATCGATCAGTCTTCTAATACGGTTGGTTTGTTCATAGATTTATTATTATTATTATTAATAATGCAGATTTCCGGGCACAAACAAATAATCTTTTTCTGAATAATAACATTTTGAAAATTAAAGACTTGTATATTTTTCAGCTTGGACAGTTAATGTACAAGCTCAACACTAAACAATTACCTTTGCCTTTTAATGATATGTTCGTAAGAAATGATTCGATTCATAGTTACCTCACTCGCCAGGCGAGCTCTTTTCATCTACCAATAAATAAAATATCTTTTGCACAAAAGACATTTGTTTTTACAGGTCCAAAACTGTGGAATTCTCTTTCAAATGATATTATAAAGTGTAAATTGATTCAAATTTTCAAAAGGAAACTTAAAAGCTTTCTTCTGAATAGTTACTAGGCTATTGCATTCCCCAATCAAATACAATTTGTAGTGTGACTTTATGCAACTTTGATTGTTTCTTTTTATAAACATGTATGTATTTATCAATGTTTTGCGTTTAAAAGTGATTTTTGTATTACTGAATTGTTGTTGTTGTTTTTTCTCATAAAAATAATAATTCATAATATTTACTTTTACAGGGGGGCTTACATTCTCCTTCCCTTTCAATTTCATGTTAATTTTGTTAATGTATAGTATTGTGCAAATTGATCTATACCGGTAGATATATAAAAATTGATTCCTGCAACAATTGGTTATAATAATAATGATAATAATAATAGTGGCTACTTGTATAGCGCACAGGTCCGCCTTTCGGTGCTCATGGTGCTTAGAGAAAAATACATGTAACAAACATAAGAAAGAAAAAACAACAAACAAATTTTGAAATTCTCCTAGACATAGTCAATTAGAATATTGCAATAATTCAAGGAAAAAAACAAATAAGTTTTCAGTTGTGATTTGAATGTTTCTGTTGACGACAGTTGACAGATTTGTAAAGGGAGTTCATTCCAGAGTTTTGGACCCATGACTGAGAAAGCCAGATCGCCCATGTTTCTTTTGAAGAAAGTTGACGTATTTGTAGAGGGAGATCATTCCAGAGTTTTGGACCCATGACTGAGAAAGCCAGATCGCAATAGCCTGTCTGATGACGACAGTTGACGTATTTGTAGAGGGAGATCATTCCAGAGTTTTGGACCCATGACTGAGAAAGCCAGATCGCAATAGCCTGTCTGATGACGACAGTTGACGTATTTGTAGAGGGAGATCATTCCAGAGTTTTGGACCCATGACTGAGAAAGCCAGATCGCCCATGTTTCTTTTGAAGAGAGTTGACGTATTTGTAGAGGGAGATCATTCCAGAGTTTTGGACCCATTAGTGAGAAAGCCAGATCGCAATAGCGTGTCTGATGACGACAGTTGACGTATTTGTAGAGGGAGATCATTCCAGAGTTTTGGACCCATGAGCGAGAAAGCCAGATCGCAATAGCGTGTCTGATGACGAGCGAAGATGTGTGGGATTGTATTTGGAAACAGAGTTACTCAGGTAGGTAGGGGAAATAAGAGAGTAAACTGAATGATGTACTTGTAACAGAATTTTAAATATAATCCTATTATCAACTGGCAACCAATAGAGAGAACACAGAATTGGTGAATTTTGAAGTCGTTGAAGTTTTTTTACATCATTTTTGGAAGATTACAGAACAGCAAATTTGCAAAATCTAAACAAGAAGCAATTAAACCATGAATCAAGATCTCAGCCGCAGGTTCAGATAAACACTTTCTTATTGCGTAATTCATACCTTACACTCTGTTGAACATGTGTATGACTACAAAGGACATTTCCTGAACAAATATTACACCCAAATTAAGAGCTGTTTTTGATGGAGTGATACAAGTGCTACCAATATGGAGATGACACAATTGATAGTCAACCTTTCGTAACATGTGCTTTGAACCTAATAATAACAACTCAGATTTATCATCATTCAGCTTAAGGCCATTAGATATTAACCAGGATTTTAGTTCTTCTAGACATGTTTCAAGTTTTGAAACAGCTGATGACAGTGAAGACATTGTAGGTTTAAAAGAAAGATAGATTTGGATGTCATCTGTGTATTAATCAATGGTGGCTAATACAATGTTTGTGAAATATCTTGCTGATTGGTTGCATATAAAGAGAAAAGAGCAGTGGTCCTCCTACCAAACCCTGGGGTACACCATACTTCATAGTAGTTTTACCAGAGGTAGAATTACCAATTTTAACACACTGAGATCGTTCAGAGAGATATCATATGATACGATATATCAAGTCAGGATAGAGTAATCTACTGTATCGAAAGCTGAGCTCATATCTAGCTTAGGTACTGTATGTATTTTGGTTGTTAAGCATTTATTCCTGCTACATTTGGTTTCCTAAACATTTGCTCCAGTGACAGTTGTTCCCAGATTTTTTAATCTTCATCACTGCATCATATATTTATAACCCTAACCTTAGTCCATTAACTATCGTCATCCTGTTACCAACTGTTTGGGCCGTTTGGCCCTTTTTTTCCCTCTCTTGCAACTTAGGAGTATATGGTAACACACCTGTCGCTGTCAAGACTCTGAAGGTAGGGTCCAATATGTCACAAGCAGACTTCCTGGCTGAGGCCAACGTCATGAAGAAAGTCAGACATCATAAAGGCATTTTACAGATCTTTGCAGTGTGCTCAGACAGCGTAAGTGATTTCCAAAAGACATTTGAGACAATCCATTAAAAAATTATTACTACTTTACATAACCATACGGCTCTCATAGATTACCATAATTACCCCCCTTATAGAAGGTTGCCACCCACTTCCAAAATTACCACCTCCTCTCCAAGAGAATTACCCCCCCCCCCCTGTATTATTTCCTATCCCAGATGACCACACTCCTCTTCCTTTTGGACAATAATCCATCAGAGATGATTATAGGCATTTCTTGTAGTCCTTCTGTATTAGCACCACTCCCAGTTCTTTCACTCCTTTCTCTTCCAACAATTTCTGCAGACTGTCCACCCAAACTATCCCCCTTCTCCCCCTACTCCTTCTTCCCACAATTTTCCCTGTCAAAGCAAGATTCTCTAGGCCTTCTTTACATGTAATGTGACCCATAAACTTCAACTGCCTTATCACATCTCGCATATCATTTTCCTTTGCACTTCAGCTCGTCTAGAAATTATTCATTACTAATTTGTCGTAATGTGTACTATTGCATTTTGCTTGCAGGAGAACAGGATCTACATTGTGACCAAGTTGATGTCAAATGGAAACTTACAAGCCTATCTCAAGAGGGGCAAAGGCAAGGTTACCAAGCTGACAACACTCATTGATATGGGTGCACATGTGAGTTACAAGAATCTATAGCAGATCTTCTTAAAGACATACTGTCAACAGTTCCCAAATGAATTGTATCTCAAGTTAATTCACAATACCCTGTACCACTAACTTCTAATGACACTAGCGCAATTCAATGACCTACCAGAAAGCTACTGGAGCTGGTGTCTTTTCTTAACAAATTAGGAAATGGTTATCTCGTTAAAATCTGTACAGTGCCATTAAATTTACAAATAAATGCTCCAAATACAACATTTTGTATTCAGACAGTCCATAATATTAATTTATGAACCTTAATATGAATTTCAAAAAGAAAGCAATTTCTTAGGCTGAAAACATTACGGTATACACCATATAAAGGCTGAAGGATGGGTAAGTAAGTGATAATAAAAAGCATTTAAATTCATAATTGAAAATTGTTTAATTAGAATTGATATAAATGGCCTAAAACCTGTCGTAAAAGTTTCTATACCTTTGCCAATTAAAGAACCTGAAACTTGTAACTATTTAGTTGGTGTAGAAAGATATTACTCTCTTGTCTTTCCTCATTCATAGATTGCAAGCGGTATGGACTATCTAGGATCGAAGAACGTTGTTCATCGTGACCTGACTGCAAAAAATGTGTTGGTGGGTGAGGGTAACGTGGTCAAGATCGCTGACTTTGGTCTGGCACGGCTGATGAAAAAAGATGTATACGTCGGGAAGAAAGGTAAGTAACAAGGGATTATAATAACATCTGAAACCCTAAATAAATAGTTATGTTCTCCTTATTTCATATACATAACACAGAACAGCTCATGGAAAGGTTGGGTCTGGAAGAAACTGGTGGAAGTGGGATAAAGAAGTGGATTGAGATGGATGGATGGGGCATGTGTTGAGAAGGGAAGATGATGAACCCGTGAAAAAGTGTAGGATCTGGAAGTTGATGGCATAAGAGGGAAAGGAAGACTGAAGAGAGTGTCATAGTGCGAAACTCAGTAACCCCTTGTATTGTATTAAAGAGGGAAAATACTGATGATGACAGAGAGTTTTCATCTTCAGACACATCATAAGTAGGTGGTCTTATTGTACTTTTTACTGATGTACCAGTTTCCATATGAAATACTTCTTAAGGGAAACATACCACTACTATAATAGTGGGTTCTTGTGTAGTGCTCATGTCTGTCAGACTTGATTCTCCTGGAGCACATGGCCTGTATAGGCTAGTGGTCTTTTCTGTACAGCTACATGTAAAGCAGTTTTTACTTTACATACAAGAGGTATAGCGCACCTCTTGGAAGAATTATACAACGATTAAAACCAGACACAGACGATCTACAATATGTGTTAAAAATGTCATCTTTATTGTCCCACTAATTTCTTCCTAGGTGCCAAGTTACCAATCAGGTGGACTGCTCCGGAGGCTGCCCTTTACGGAAGCTTCACCATCAAATCAGACGTCTGGTCGTTTGGAATCCTTTTGACAGAGATGGTCACCTATGGTGGTTACCCATATGATAGTGAGTCATCACATAGGTTATTATTAACCGTATCAGACATCTGAGCAGGGCAATTTTTTAATGTTTTTGCCCTCAAGGTTTAATGGATAAGCCAACAAAAGTACAGGCGGAAAAATATTATTCACCGCTCAGAAGTCAATGGGATTGTGTGTGTAATTTGCCAGTCAATAATATTATACAGTAAACCAATGAACAAATATTATTGCCCAATCTGAAAAGTCAATGGGATTTTGTGTGTAATTTGCCGGTCAATAATATTATACAGTAAACTAATGAACAAATATTATTGCCCGATTTGAAAAGTCAATGGCAAAATGCATGTTAAACTAGTGGGCAATAATGTAAAGCCTTTGTAAATTTCATCGCGCATCTACTACGCGTATGCCCAGGTCGAAATTCCATTAGGATCCGATCCTATTGGACCATCAGAAACCATCAGAGCTATTGGTGTCTAATGGTTTCAATAGGGAAAGTGAAATGATGGACCCACAGAAACCATTAGAAAATATCTATTGGACCAACACAAAACATTAGAAAATATCTCTTGGACCAACACAAACCCACAGAAAGAAATGCTGATGGACCAACAGAAAGCTTCTATTGGACCAGCATCCACCCATGTCTTTTATGGGTTTCTGTTGGTCCATTAGATATTTTCTTCTATGATGGGTTTCTGTTGGTCCATTAGATATTTTCTATGGGTCCCTGTTGGTCCACTAGAGATCTTTCTATGGGTTTCTAATGGTCCCATATTCTGAATTCCCTGTTGAAACCAATAATCCAATGGCTTCTATTGGTAAATCAATAATGATAAATCAAAACCGACTTTAGCAACTGTCCACCAAAAAAAGTATATTCTAATCTCAATTGCATTAACATCATCACATAGATCATTTGAAGTGAGTTTAAAAATATCTTTTATTTTAAATGAAGGCTTGTACTATTTTATATAATAAACATACATGAATTGTTTGTTGGTTAGTAATCATTATAATCAATATATCTATTGCTAAAACGTGAATGAAATTGTAACTTGATTAAACATATAGATCTAGATCTAATCGATTGGTCATTAGTTGCCAAAAGAAACTAAAAATCACAAAATTGATGTACATTGTCATAAGTTGCTTAACAAATTATGATAAATGTAATTTTCTTTGAACACGTATAAAGTAATCATGAATATGCATGAATAGATTTAGCTGTTGGTTACTATTGGTTTCTATTTGTCCCATTGGGTTCTATTGGTCTCATTGGTTTCCTATTGGTCCTATCGGTCCTATTGATCCTATTGGTCCTATTGGTCCTATTGGTCCTATCGGTTCTATCGGTTTCTATTGGTCTTATTGGTTTCTATTGGTTTCTATTGGTCCTATTGGTTTCTATTTCTATTGGTTTCTATGGGTGCTATTGGTTTCTTTTGGTTTCTGATGGTTTGAAGGGTCTCTATTGGATTCAATTCTATGGGTCCAACAGAAACCAATAGACTCCAACAGAAACCATTAGAGACCAATAGAATTTTTCTAATGGTCTCTATTGGTCTCTATGGGATTTTCGACCTGGGTGAGAACCTGCGCACTTTGCCACACTCTAGTGTGACGTAATAATTACACCCAAGGCACACTGTTTGCAGTGTATCTACAATTTTGTCATGCACAGCTGGATGTACAGCGCTGGTTTGACAATGTTTTTGCAACTTTTTATGCTAGGAAACACTGTGCAGTGTAGCTAGGCTACTGTAGTTTACAGAATTTAAGAGTATAAGATACTGAAATTTTCTTGTTTGCTCTAGATGTCTGATGTGGTTACTTATAGTAATATTGACTGCCTAATTCAGGGCAATACGACTTGTCATATATCGCCCTCACCTTCGGTTCAGGCAATATATCGTATTGCCCTGAAGGCAGTCAATATTACTTGTGATAGAAGTGATATTTTGTCAAATCAAAATTTTCTTGCTTAAGACACTTTCATGATTTTTCCAGCGTCATCCAGTAATTATAGTAATATTGACTGCCTAATTCAGGGCAATACGACTTGTCATATATCGCCCTCACCTTCGGTTCAGGCAATATATCGTATTGCCCTGAAGGCAGTCAATATTACTTGTGATAGAAGTGATATTTTGTCAAATCAAAATTTTCTTGCTTAAGACACTTTCATGATTTTTCCAGCGTCATCCAGATTTATGAAAATTTCATGCTGCAAATCAATGTATCACAACAGGAAATTTCAGCGGCAAAAATCGCTGTCGTTAATAATTTGCAAAAGTTAACGTTTTGCAGTAGTGTCATTTTACAAATGGAGATAATATTGACTTTGAGATGATAATAATGATGATGATAATGTTACTGAAAGCTATACTTATCACCTCATTCAATTAATCAACATATTCATGCTGTATTAAACACTTACAAGCAGCAAAACTGAAGACTTCTATGTAGAGAGCTATGCAAAAAGTTATACCCTATACTGACAGAAACAGTACAAAGCATGTGAATATCAGAGAAGTCTAGAGCATATATTTGATTACTTGTTGATTTTTTTCTGTTGCAGAAATGATATCTCCGGAGCCGGTAAAGACAAATGTAGCTAACGGATATCGTATGCCTAAGATGGATCACTGTCCGGACTCTCTCTATGAGATCATGTTGAAATGCTGGCACAAAGATCCCCAGCAGAGGCCCACCTTCAAGTGCCTTCACGACTACTTCGTCTCGACCAAACCCAACTACAAGGAGGCCGATTAGCTGGCAGAGATTGTCTCGTGAATTAATGGACAGTGTCTTGAAAGATTGTCTCTTGAATGGACAGTGTCTTGAAAATTGTCTCTTGAATGGACAGTGTCGTGAAAGATTTCTGTTGGAGAAAATGCTCCAACAGTTTGTCTCTTAATTTGACAATCTGTGGAAAGAATCATGAATACACGTACAGTTTCACTTTCTGGATGACTTCCAGAATGTGTAGGAAACCTGACCCTCTGTGATGTACCTGTAGTCCCTTTTCCTTTGAATCAACATCCTGTTAACTGAAAGACAACATTCCTTCTTAATTAATGGATAATGTTTCCAAAGAGTGTCTTTTAAACGGACATTGTCTCCTAAGGATCAAGACCTCAATCTTGACATGATCCTATTGTCTCTCATATCCATTCTAAAAGATAAACTGGTTTGGAGAGAAAGACGTCTTAACTGCTAATAGCTGATGTAAGAAGGGGCGCTTAATGTTACAGTAAAATGATTGTAGTCTCTCTCTGACAAGACTGAGATTGATATGCTACAAATAGACCAATATGCCAAGAGATAAGAAATGAAGTTCATCTCACTTATATCCTTGTGAAAACACAAGAACCAGTTGTGCCATACAGCTATAGAAAAGTCTAATCAATCGCAAATTATAACAAATTCATATCTCTGTAGTGCAGATTATGATTGGTATCAAGTTATGTTCAATTTGAATCAATCACAACGATTTAAAACACAAGAACCGGTCGTGCCATACAGCTATAGAAAAGTCTAAGCAATCTATGTTTGGCAATAGGTCAAGGGTGCTAGTTAAGGTACGAGTTATTGATGTATTCCATCTATAGATTATGCAAGCATTGAGATATTTAACTTGCTTCCCTGTGGTAGTGTTTCCAATCATTGCTAAGTTATGTTCAATGATTGAATCCAATTCATATGTATAAGGCTTTACAGTAACCCATCCTTCTTATCAAGGGTTCAGTGACACAAAGACATAACTCAATATTTTGCCAAAATTAGTATTTGAATTCAAAATGTTCAGAAAAATGTGGGCTTTCCAAGAAACACAAAGACTTAACTCCACTCAACGCCCCATTGAAGTCAATGGCTAGTGAAACATAGAGGCTGTTCACACCGCAATGAGATAACGCGGTCTATCGTAGCACCCCCTTTTTTCTAGCGCGCGCTAGACCGCGCTCTCTCTCGTGGACCACCCCCAAGAGGTGCTCCTGTGGCATGCCGTTTTGGCTCGCCGTGGCTCGCTGTTGGGCGGACCGAAACGACGTTGTACCTTCCACATCGCAGAGATAGCGCGGTCTAGCGCGCGCTATCTCTGCCGGTGTGAACAGCCTCATAGACTTAACTCCTTACGGCCCAAGTGCTCAGTGACACATAAGCCACTTTTTCTTAAAATGGCCAAAATGGAGTTACACCTTTCTGTCACTGACCCCTGGTTATCATGTATGTAGTAACATTGAAAACTTGTCATCAGTCGGTCACCTGTATGTGTGAGCCATTAGAGTTTTTAAACGTCTGTTTGGAGCCAAAAGGGTATTAACTGTTTTTAAAATCAAATGAGTTAGCGTCCTTCTTGCTCCTAATAGACAACATGTAATCAACGGTACTCCTTTTATACTTGGTTTGATGGAAGAAAGTTATTTTTATACTCGTCTGATTTGAATAATTTCATAACCGATGAATTATATACATTCCCTCTCTTTGTTTCCTCTTTTCAGATAGTACTATAGTTTTAAGACGTGAAACAGTCACTGTATTATGGTACTTTTTAAACACAATCATGTGAGTAATTTTTTAGGACTTTGTGGTGAACATTTCAAGGGATCTGTACAGGTAGCTACATGCTTTTTAAGTGTAGCTTATTTTGAATATCAGGCATATATTTGGTAATTGATGAAAAGTAAAAACGAATATGTTTGCGATGAAATGTTCATGTTGAAAATATCTACAGCTCTTTCATGTCTTTTGGATGAGAGAAAACGAATCACAGAATTTACCTCGATTTTCAATCACTTTTGGTACATTTGCATTTACTTGTGTGGATGTTATAGAGTTGCCTGTAATATGTGTTGCTAGGTTGGGCAGATCTCTGACAAGGTTATTAGGATGTGGAGGTAGTTCTGTAAAAACAAACAAAAGAGATTGGGTCTACTTGCTCCTCTTGTGTGCTTCGAGTTTGATCTGTCACTTGTTTAAAGCCTCGTTCATACATGATATTTTAAACTGTGTAAAAAAAATTTAAAGGGCTGCAGCGACGTAAAATGACATGAGAACAGTGCCTTTTATATTTCTGTATTTCATACCACACAGATATATTACTATGCTTGGGAGTTTTTGCCTGCAGGTAATTTTTCAGCGTCACTTTCCCTCTCATTTTCATGTCAAATGTTTTATCTTGCTACTGCTTTTTACTTTTGAGATGGTTTGTCCTATCATGTATGAACGAGGTGCTTTGACATTTTCAAGTCTAGGCAGTGCTTAAACTTTATTATTAGCTGAGTTTAATGTGAGGAAGGAACAATTAGAGTCAATTTTCTTTTGATTAAAAGTTAGATTACGAGCAGGAACAAATGATTATAGGAATACATTTATTTTGTATATTTTTGTATTATATCAGGTAGAAATTTTGACTCAGATTTTCATGCATGTCTATTTGTTTGACTTCATTTATTTAAGCTTCCTGTGTTTGTTATCTCCATATTAAAGCATAGTACATGTGTTCAATACACTCTCAGTAAGTACAACTTATACATGCGTATTCCATAGTGGGCGGTAACCCATGGTTTTCATTTGAATCTCCTTTATGAATGTCTGTCGGTGAATAATTATACATGTACATGTAGCAGTTAGTATAAAACATGTTCCAAAAACAGGGATACCATTCTAGAGAATAATGCTCTATAAACCATATTTTTATGCCTTATGAAGTGGTTTATTTACTTTAGGTGATATAGTTTTATATCATTTCATTTTTGTAGTTGAGAATTCAGGTTGCAACCATTCATTGTTTCTAAATTTTATAGATTTTTGTTTCCTCTCTACTTTTAACCAAATTATATCTCATTCTAACAGTCCAAATCAACAGTAAAATCAAAATTTACAGAGAAGGTTATACTGAGGTTCAGTTTGTTGCAGTGTTTAACATGGCTTATATTGAGATTTAACCCGTCGCTGGGGTTAGCAGAGTTCTGGCCAGTTACAGGTATTTCTTGATAGATAGGTTCAATGAAACTAGTATGATGTTGTTATAAACACCCTTATGTGCCATTTCAAATCCTCTTGTATTTTAGGAATAGTAGTTCCAAAGGGAAGAGACCTTTGATCTTTGACCTTCGTTCTATGTACCTACATGTACTGTATATATTAAATCTTTGCTTCTATTTGTCTATTTTCATTGATTTCTAAGTACTTAGAGCTTTCTATAAAGATCTTTGTACAGTGCGTTTTATTTTATGTGGAATATTAGACATCAATGGTGCATTTTTTGATAATCAACGATGGTGTAGATATACCTATGCACATACATTTTATTACACGGTACTCACATTGCAAGTACATCTGCTAGATATGTTTGACATAGAAGTCGAGTGATGTCACAATGATTAGATTTGACCTTGTGATGTCACAATGATTAGATTTGACCTTGTGATGTCACAATGATTAGTAGATTTGACCTTGTGATGTCATTGAGAGTCTTTGAATATAACTCAACCTGATTTAAAACATTGTGACACAGTTCGGTTGTGAAATTCTGTTTAACATTTTTATTTTATTTTAGATTTTCTACTATATATATTTTTTAAATTCCATCTTTATTTTCTTTCTGTTCTAAATTTCATGTTTTCCAATAATTCTATAAATTATTTGCTTCATCTATTTCATGGATATTCAAGAAATCAGACTTTTAGATAGTTGTTACATGTAAGGTGAAAAGGTGTTTTCAATGCAGGTGAATTTCATATGGAATGTGCTGTTCTCTTAGTAATTTTTTTAACCAAAAACATGTATCCAAGTGTATGTACTAATTAATAGTGATACGTGAGGTTTTAGTCATCTTTTAGCCAGACATACGTAATGTAAATATAACACACTTCATAAAATATCACTGATTACAATTGAATATTATCTAATCATATTTGTGTAAATAAAACCAATAGCTATGGAGAGTAACAATAATTAACTATAATCAGGATTTTTTCTTCAAAATTTGCTTCCATGTGATTTTTAAAACATTACATAACTTATAAACATACTTTGAACAGGGCAATTGTTTGTTAGCAAAATAATACGGTTCTTTTGTATTTATCTACCGGTAGCCTAATCAATTCAATGTGTACCAGAAAATATTGTACAAACACTTACTGATGTGTAGGAATGATGTTGTAGACATCGTGTCAGTGTACAGTTAGGCCTTGTTCCAAAATCCTCTATCCCTCTTGAAAAAGTTTCTCTTGCCAAATTGTGAGATGTAAAATATAGGATAGCAGGTTGTATACTACATGTATGTGAATGACAAGTTGTATGCTGAAACCCAGAGTGGCAGTGTAACTTCCTTTTGTTTTCAGGGGGGGAGGGGGGGGGGGGGGGACAAATCTCCTGTGTCCCTGCACCAGCCCCTAAATGTGCCCTTCTTTTCAAACTTTTGAACCTTTCTGTATGTGTGTGCATGTTGGTCAGAAGATTTTCTGAATCCCCCCCCCCCCCATTTTCATAATAAAGTAACCCTCAAGGCTAAATATGAAATGGTAAACAAGGCATTTAAAAAAAATGAAACAGAAAGCCATCAAATTGCAGTATAAATAAAGCTTAAAACATACCGTTACCTCACATATTTAATACTTTACCATTTTTATATCGTATTGTGTGACATACCAGGTCAATTTCCAATATTCACAAAATAGAACTTTTTGTCTTTTGTCTCTAGCAGCAATTAGAAGCAAGGACATACATGTGTACATGTACCAATTATAATTTGTCGGAAATTAGACCAAAACATTGTTTTTTCCATTTTAGAATAAAAATCTTTTTTTGGGGTATCAGGTACGAGATGAAGAGTATAAATGATTCACATTCTACATTGATGCTTGTAAATAAATGAAAATGTACTTCAGATATTTTTATGTATGTATAAAACTTAAAATAATATGAGCTTGGCAGTTGTTGAGGGAAAGAAATGATGGTTTATTTTTTAGAATGCAGAGAGAATAGATGTATAATCCAGAAACATGATTATGACATTATCTAAACTAATATTTCATGTATGTTGATCAATCATGTTTGTTATCTTGTTAATCCTTTTCCTGCTGAATTCTCTTGTTCCCATAAGCTTTCCATGGACTATCCGGCTCCGGTAATTAATGGGTTAATTCAATCTGTCACATCATACAGTGTCACAGAATTCAAGACTGTGTAGAACTTTAGGCATATTAGTTATATCATTTGGTGGGTTTGTTTAAGGTGTGTTCAAGAGAAAAAATAGAGTCAGCAAACGACATCGATACCCAAGATGATTAAAACAATATCTCTAGTACTTTTCAAAAGTCTGTTCCAATTTGTCCAGTACTTAACAAAAGTCTAGTAGGATTTTTCCAGTACTTTTCAAAAGTCTGTTCCAATTTTTTCCAGTACTTTTCAAAAGTCTGGTACGATTTCTCCAGAAATTCCGTTCAAATGTGAGTTCAAGAAAGCCTATGTTTGACACACTCTCTTAAATTTTTTAATTTTTTTGCTGTATATAGTTACAATAATGGTTCATCAAGGCTTAAACATTTTCTCCAGTCCGTTTCACATTGCATTGGAATGCTGCACAGTGTGATGCGACCATGTACATGTACGTGTAGATGGATTTACGTGTGTAAAGAAACAAACACATGTATATAATACAAAGAACAGGAAAAACACTGTATGGGACTATCTAACTCATTGTAACTAGACTGTGTATGTTATTAAATCATGTAATTACATATATATATATATATATGGATAAAATGCCTTTCACAGAAAGAATCAATATCTTCATTCCATTGTAGATGTAGCCAGAAGCTTTTTAACGAAACACTGTATAAATATTACCCAGTACATTATCCTCATACTGTCACTAGTAGATATTTGTAAACTATATTCTATCACTATTTTACAAGTACTTTTATATGGAATTCTTTTCAATATGTAATGCTTTGTACTATAATTGAAACAGAAACATTTTGTTTCCCTCTGCATTAAAAACTAAAAACAGATACCAGTGTTTAAAGTTTATTTTGTTCAGCTCCTGTTACATATTCTAAAAGTTTGGGTCATGATGGAAATATAAGTGCCCAATCACTCAGTGAGGGACGTTCCTTTTCCGCATGTTTTCAGCTAAGTTTTGTCATGGTTGTCCTTTCTTTGCTGTTATTCTTGGAACTTGAAAGGTTTCTGGAATCGTATGTATGATTTTTTTTTCTTCTCTCCTCTTCCTCCTGGACCCAACTTCAAAGATGTTCAAAGACAACCATTTACTAGACATATGTTAAACTTTTGTCATCTCTTTCTATCATTTTAGCTGGTCAATTTCCCCAGTCTCTCTCCCATCCCCTTCTCTTTCTCTTTCTCTGTCTCTCTCTCTCTTTCCTTACTTATTCTATACTAATAATCTCTCACCGAGAGGTGTTGATTCAGACCAAAAGTTCAACTGTTTTTAAAACTATCGCATGTACGCCCTGAGATAAGAGTAACCTGACCCTGGACATGGCATGATTAATTTTCATACTGAATTGAGACACAACAGATACAATGAAAGCCAGAAAAATGAGACTTAAGAACTTTCTTCAGATTCCATATTTTATTCTTTATTATCTGACGAATTACTTAATCAGCGTAAAAGAAAGAACAGTACATGTCCCCCCTATAATATGAAGAAGCAAAACGGATCAACTCCGTAAAAGGGCTGACTAGGACCAAGCCTATTGCGAGGCCTTCATTGCAGGCAGGGAGAGCTTGCTGGGAATTGAACCCACAACCTTCACATCTCCAGTCACACCACGTGACTACGATACCACCAACAGCATCCAAATTTTTGACTTTTAAACAGCATGTACTGTCTGGATCTGGATCATCAGAATATCTCAGGTCTTATCCATTAAGCAGAGTGTCACTCCAGCTATCACCAGACCCATTCCAATGTACGTTTCTGTAGCAGAAAAAAATAAAAATAAAATACAGGTGATGGTGAAGGTTTGAATCATCTCAGAAATTCAGGATAATTGACAGACTTTAAGAAAATGATGTACATACCTTGAGGCAGGCGCGTACACAGGATTTTTTCAAGGGTGGGGGGGGGGGGGTTTAACATTTTTAAATCAGGCTGAAAATTTCGCATCGACTCAGCCAGCCGCTGAATAAGCGGGGAGGGGGGGGGGGGGGGGGGCGGGGGTAAGAGGACACTTTTTTTTTGGGGGGGGGGGGTCTCGAAATTTGACATTTTGCTTCATTGGGGGGGGGGTAAGGTCACCTTTTTTAGGTCAGCCAAGTGAATTTTTTATAATTTTATTTTTTATTATTAAACAAAAAAACAAAAAAACAAAAAAAAAATCCCAAAGGGGGTATTTTTTTTTTTTAGGGGGGTTTATACACATTAAAATACCAAAGGGGGGGGGGGGTTTAACCCCCCAAACAACCCCCCTGCGTACGCGCCTGCCTTGAGGTTTTGGAATCATCTAATTAAAAAGAAATTCACTTAGTCTTAGTCCTGGATTTAGCTCATGCTGCAATGATAATTATAAACCTTTAGGTCAGTCAGGAACCCCATGCCTTTTAAAAGCCGATCGCCTGTCCGATTACAGTATCAAGATATTTATGATTGGAAATCAAAATTTCATATTTTGTTTTCCTAAACAGATTTTATAACACTACAGCCTATTAGGGAAATTAAGTATGGTAAAACCAGTCACTCAAAGACTTTTACTCTTATGAGGCGCTTCATGATCATTTTGAAGCGTAATTTTTTTAGGGCTTCAATATTACACCATATCAGAGACACTGATAACGTGTAGGACAATGCCTCTCATATTTAACATTGTTAAACGATGCCTTTAAGAAGACTTACCTGTTCCACCTATTCTCTCCCCTAACATCTTGCCAGTCAGTGTTGTGATGATGAACGTCAGTGAGTTTGTTACAGGGGCTACCAAAGATAGGTCTGCAAAATATAAGAAATAATAAGCAAAAGTTCTAACATATAGTCTTCGTTTCATTTATTTCCATTTCCAACAAAATAAGATAAAGTACATGGGATTGCATTGTACATAGTAAAACAATGAGACTTAACAATACATATGTAATTGTTCCACAGTGTACAACAGGCATATAAAACAGGTTGGTCATGGAGGGGACTGCTGAAAAGCGGAGCTTTTAGATTGCAGCCCCCTATTCTCTTAAAATTCTCTGACCAGCAAATTAAATGGGACATGTGCACTATAGAAGACACCATCACAATTATATTATTATTATTATCGTTATATACATACCTGCTGAAGCGAGAGTGAGGTAATAGACAACAGATCCACTTTGATTGATCAGAAAAGCCAACAGATACTGGATGAGAAAAAAAGAACAAAGACAAAAACAACAAAATTAAAAACAAAGACAAAAATAAAAAATAAAATTTTGATATGAATTCTTAACTCCAGTCTTGGAACCAACACAGCAAACCATATATACTGTTAGCATGAATTAGGGGCTGGTCAGTTCTCAACAAAATGATTACTCTAACGATAAATTGTTCCCAAAATGGAAATTACATTGGAAAATGTTGTCATAGGTCAGACCTGGATTATTTATGGAAAAAGATGTCCCTCAACAACTTTGTAGTCTTGGTAGGATCTCTGTGTGAGTGATTTTTTGTGGACAAGCCTTAAAAAATATCTTGTGAGAAAACAATTGTATTAATTCCTTCAATATATGATGTCAGCAGCAGAAGGGTTGAGGGATAATGTTAGATTGATAGAACTAAAAATGTTATCATTGTGAAAATCAGAGAGGTCTCACCACTAGCTTTCATTGTTTTGGTAATATCAGAACATTTACGATTGATCATTATTGGTAAAAACCTTTGACTACCACTACTAGTACCGGGACTTTCTATCACCATTTGCGTTTGCGTTAAGGCAATTAAAGTAGATCAATGCATATGGTTTATTGTCATCATTATTGGTATTATTAGGTCTGAGTTGTCTGACCATGCCTACACTATACTTTTCTTACCTTCCAATTCAAGAAAAGATGCTTCATTTCGAAGAAGAACTGAGTGACAGCATTCTTCTGTTTCACAGACTCGATGCCTGCGCCCTCTCTCTTCAAGAATGGGTTAGTTCCTCCCCAGAGTATAGCAACAAGAACGAGCCAGAGAGCTCCGAGATATCCTTCATCAGAATCGGTCTCCATCTGAAAAGATGAAGAATGAAATGACAGAGTCTGAGTGACAGAGACCCGTTCACAATATAGGTTCTAGTAGCCTATCACAGTTTCATAATTTGCTTAGTTGGATCCCGATCTACTGTTAATGAATAATGTTAGGTACAGACAGTAATCAAGAATGCAAGCCTTCTGTATGAGCCGGTCTAGGTGTTGTCTGTTGTCTCATGTTATTACACAACCTCCTCCCTCCACAAATAGCAGTACCGTATACCATGGAAGAATCCTGGATCTTGTAAAGTAAAGACTAAAGTAAGTAAGTAAATTACTAATAGGTAACAATTTTGCCTCCTGACCTACAAATCAAACAAGCTTCATCCACTCTATTATTACTGAACGTTACTTGCGGAGTTGGGAGTTTACTCAAACATACTCTACTATCACAGGATCAGGACTTATCTGGCCGAACAACGGCAAACCGTTAAACTCGGCCCGTCCCGTCCCCGCGCTCCCCGCATGCCGCATCCGTACCGGTTCACGAATTTCAGGCTCAGCGTAGAGTGGACACTGCACTGGGAATGTTACATGCCATGCTTACTAATACAACATTGATTGATTTTAGTTTAGAACCTAAAATGAATATAAAAATAATGGCGAAACAGATTCTTTATACCTTACCTTGCTAGCATGTATCTTAGAACTGATCAAAAGAACATCCAAATGAACTTTTCTTACTGCACTGGTACTGGGACTGGGAGTGTCACTGTACGTAGCAGACTCTTTTGTGTTTCCTGAAAGTATGGTGGCGCTTAGTTGCAAGCTGTAAAAGTTTGTTTCCCCTTTTTCCTCTTTTTTTTCGGGGGAAGGGGGGGGGGGGTGGGCTTGTTAATTTATTACACATCAATGCAAAATTTTCATATTCATATGATTAAAACTATATTCTTTAACGCTAACTATTTTATCCCAAATTAAATTGATTCCTAGAGTTATCCCGATTTGTGTTTTTCTTTTAATTTCACGAGGAATTAGAGGGGTTATTTACAGTCAGACCACTCCAGCAAAGCATAGAGAGTCAATGCTAATGCGTATTGACCTTTAGCACTGCATGCTTGCTGTAAGACAGGTATTATTATACCCATACACAAATATACACACCACACAAAATCGCATAGACTGTACACAATTATGTCGATGCAGCTGTAAGCAAAGTTTGACACTAACTTACAATTTGAATTTTTAAATTATTCTTTTTAACATCAGTAAGTTAAAAAAAATGTATTTTACTGCTATTTAGTTGTCATCAATTGTCACTAAAGTACCGATTTGGAGTGAAATTAGTTGAGTTTTGTACAGTGGTGTTTGAAAAGTTGAGAATCAAAAGCACAGCTTTTACTACACAGCCAGGATAGTGATGCTCAATAATAATTTGCGATATGATGTATTACTTATGATGAGGTAGGCCTACTTTCACATTTGGATTTGCTATCAACCACTCATCCAGGCGCGTACGCAGGGGGTGGTTCTAGGGTTAAACCCCCCCCCCCCCCCCCTCGAGTTTTTTTTATGTGTATGTTTTTTGTATGTTATTTTGGAAAACCCTCCCCTTTTGATTTTTTTTTTTTTTTTTTTTTTAATAAGAAGAAAAAAAAAAAAAAATTGCCAATGGGTGACCTTAAAAAGGTGACCTTACCCCCCCCCCCCCCAACTGGACAAAATGTCGAATTTTCAAATTTCGAGACCAAAAAAAAAAAAAGTGTCCTCTTACCCCCCATCCCCCCACCCCCCACCCCCCCCCCCCCCCCGCTTATTCAGCGGCTGGCTGAGTCGTTGCGAAATTTTGGGCCCGATTTGAAAACCCTCCCCTTGAAAAAATCCTGCGTACGCCACTGCACTCATCAAATTTATGATGACTACCGAATTGTATGCATTGCTACGGAATGACATAAAAGGTCAAGTTTTGGTCAGTCCGTAAGAAAGCTATGTTCTATGAATTTGATAAATGGTTGATATACGTAACTTAACTGTTGTGAAAATACATTATCATTATGTATGTTATATAATTAATTTGTATATTTTTCAGTAAGATGTTTATATCATTCTTTTCAAAATTGAAATTTCTTTGAAAATGTCAACAAAATTGGTAACGCTAAGATTTTGACTAATTACTGCAGTAACCGACCGATTCCTTATATGGGATATGGGTGATTTCTTCGCTGGAGTAATTCAAGAATAAGACGATTTAATTTATATTTGTATTTTAATATTAGGTCTTCATTAGGACTTACGATTTATTGATCAAGCGTCATGATTAAAGAAAGGAACGTTTTTTTCCTGTCATCATTATTACAGTCATTGTGACTCAAATATAGGCCTAATTGTTATAATTACCCTTGTCATTACCACGTCGTCACCACTATTACCATATTAATAACAATAATACTAAAATGATAATAATAATAATATTAATAATAATAAAAATAATAATAATGAATTACAATTATAATAACAATGATAATAATAATGCTAAGATTTAACAAGAAGAAAAAGAAAAAGAAGAGGAAGAAAAAGAAGAAGAAGATCGAAGAAGAAGAAGAAGAAGAAGAAGAAGAAGAAGAAAGGAAGACCGCGTGCTGTACATGTACTTCTTCTAATCTTCTCATCTAAAGAAAATTGTCTTCTCTGCTCCTCTTTTACCAATCTTATCCATTCTCCACTCGATCTCCCTTTAATTAAGCCCATGTTAGAAACAATTATCTTAAAAAGGAATATAACACTGATTTAGCTAGATTCAGAGAAATCACATTATGGATCGAGGCCTATTTCTGTTTGGTTGTTTGTCAATGGATTCTTTCCTTGCGATACCTTTCCGTCTCTCTCTCTCTAACTTAATTTCTCTCTTTCCCTCTCTCTCTCTCTCTCTCTCTCTCTCTCTCTCTCTAGCTCTCTCTCTCTCTCTCTCTCTTTCCTTATCTCTATCTTTCTCTATCTCTTCTGAGTCTTTTATACGGCAATGCTTTCTAAACGGTTAAGGGGCTATGGGGGTGTTTCACAAAGATCCTAAGTCAAACTCAACTCTAACTAGGACTTAAAAATTATGGAGAGCAGTTTGTAGCCTTAAAATAAAATATATTCAAAAGCAAAAAATCAAGTATAATTATAAACTTTTCATAAATTCCACATCAAGAACATGAAATCTCCTTGAAAATAAAAAATATAAATAATTTGAATCAACATTTTATGCCTTTTAAAATAACTTTTACAAAATATTTTTCAAAGATGCTAATGGCTCTCCATAATTTTTAAGCCCATCTTAGAGATAAGTTCAACTTAGGATCTTTGTGAAACACCCCCCAGGTGTTGAAAAAAGCGTAAGGGCAGGGCCCGTACGTAGCCAGAGTTTGATGTTTGTTTGTTGTTGTTGTTTTTTTTTTTTTTTTTTTGGGGGGGGGGGGGGCACATAGGCCTGCATGTAATTGATCGACGTCCTGGGGAGGGAGTTCAACCGATCTTGGAAAATTTGTTTGGGGGCCACGTGCCCCCCCCCCCCCTGGTGCCCGCCCGCCCCCTCCCCCTGTGGCTACGTGCCTATTGATTGTATATAACTTGATAAAAAATAAAATGAAGAAAATAAAACGCTGCATAAAACCATCAATAAAAACTGTCAAATTTTAAAGAAAAGGAATAATCTGAAAAGTTTAAATCCATCAAAACTGGTTCTAAGATGTACTTATTCTAAGTATTCTTTGTTCTTCATTTTTAAATAATCAAAGGTTATCTCTTGATTTATGCATGTATTTATCATTGTTTTGCGTTTGAAAATGACTTTTGTATTACTGAATCATATATTGTCATTGTTGTGTTTTTTGTCCTGATAAAATAATAATTCACTGATACAGTGATAGGCCGATACAGGCGGGCTATATAGCTACACCCGGCACCTACAAGGCTCTGTTTATTAGTCGGCCCTCCTTCCCTTTCAATTTCATGTTGTTTTTTTTTTTTACATATATTGTAATGTACAATCATATGTATATTTATATGTGAATTTGAAAAAAATGAACCATCATTGTAAATATGAAAAATTGAAAGAGGAAAACTAAGTGAATTTAATTGATTTGTTATTCTAAATAAGCATTGTACTAAGACTATAAATACAGCAGAATAAAGACTGATAACAATTCTTTACAGTGTTCAGCAGTAGTTGAAGCGAAATTATCTCCACACAAACGTGCATATGTCTTTTTCATTCATCCACGTATACCGTATACGCCGGTTGTGTTGACAGATTATCACGAAAATAAAATCAAGTTGATAATAATTAATCGTTCACAAGGTTAAATATGGCGAGCCCTCGGACACGGAGAGTTCTAAAAGACTTACGCCTGAAAAATGGAAATAATGTGAGTATTTGTAGATCTTTAACAAACTTCATAGTTTTGTATGAAATGGCGACGCGATCGCGAAGATGTGAGTGAAAACTGAAACTGTCAGTGTCAGTGCAGTGTTGTTGCATGCAAGAACAGTGAGCTGAGCTGAGTGATCAGTGAGTGAATGAGCACTGCACTTTTTTTTTCTGTCAACTTTTTGCAGCTGTCAGTAACAATGAAATTAACCAAACAATGACGCATTTATTCTTTGTTTCTCAAAATTTACTGCTTGGCCTTGATCGTGGTTTTGAAACCACTCTTTCATTCGTCTGCATGCTTACATTTATCTGTACAAAACTAAAGGATATGGGTGGAAAAAGAATAATATCAATAAGTGTGACATGATCGCGATGGAGCCATAGAGCGCTGCTCTCGGCTCAGACTGTGTCTCTGCGAGCTGCGGAGCAATAGGTGGTTTCCTTCCTATTTCACTCATCTAATGTACAATCTTATCTTTAACTACTGCCCAACTGTTTGCCCTGTCTTTGTGCATTGATTTTTAATTTTTTTTTTTTTTTTTTTTTTTGGGGGGGGGGGGGGGGGGGTCATTTTCCTCTTGCCTTGGCTTGGCCTTGCCCCTTGGAGCCAAGTGTGTGACTTTAACAAAAAAAATTATTGTCAATTGTCATGATGATAAACTTTACTCTTTATCATCAAGCTAGTTCTTTGCCTACATCATGTGTTGCGATTCTTCTCCTTGTCTTGTTCTTCCTTTTCTTCTTCTTTATCCCTTCTTCTTTTTCTTCTCTTCCTCCTCTGTTCTCCTTCTTCTCAACATACTCAGTTCTCCTTCTTATTGCTTCTTTTCTTCCTCCCTTCTTCTGAATCTGAATTCTTATTCTCCTTTGTCTTTTCCTTCTCCTTCTCACGTTTCCTTATCTTATGGCTTCTTTTTCTTCTTTCTTATTCTTTATTATTCTTCTTCATAGTCTTCTCCTCCATCTTCTTTGTCTTCTGTCTTTTTCATGTAGACCTTTATTCTTCCTCTCTTTCTTCATCCTCTTTCTTCATCCTCCTTTACATGTAGCTCTAGCTCTCAGCTCTCCTTCCCCTCATAATTTTCACCTTGCCCTTATGTTGTTTTGTTTTTCCCTTCTTCTTTTTCTGCTACTTCTTCATTTCGTTTAAGTGATTAAAGACCTCTCTTTCCTCTTCTTAGGTTTTAAGTAAAACTGTATGATTTGATTTGACTACATGTTTAAAAAAAAAAAAACTTTAAAAGACTGACATTACCTACTACTGTATTACGGGAAAATACCAATTAATATTTTGGGATGTTTGCCATTTTTATTTTGAGCATTGCATCTTTAGTTCCTAGTTGTAAATGACAGGTCTTTAAATTTTAAAAGTGCCCTTGACTAGAGTCTGCTTAATATGGGTACACTGTATAATTGTACAAAAAGGAATTTTTACCCTCATGCTCATATTATACATGTACATGTAGATCTGATCATCTGTCATATAGCTTACTTAAGTTCTCTATATATCATTTTAGTGATTTTGCTAGCAGAATATTATCATTTATTTGCAATGCGGTAACTATAAAACATGAAGTTTCTCTTTATCTTTCATCACAGAGCTGTTATGAATGTGGAACACACAACCCTCAGTGGGCTAGTGTTAGCTATGGAGTATGGATCTGTTTAGAATGCTCTGGTAAACACAGAGGTCTTGGAGTTCATCTCAGGTAAACCAACCCTTCCAATGCAGTTTGAACTTTGAACCTCCAAAATATTTATCTTGTATATTTTTTGGACAAAGATAATCCTGTTTTGGCTTCTCAAATTCATTCTGTGTTCTATCATGATTTTTTTTTTAATGCACATATAGAAAAGAACAAGGGTACTTTCATTAAAAAAATGAATCAAATTGTAATTTTATATTACATTTATAAACTTGGTGGCATTGCAAGGATTAATGATATGCATAAAATAACCCTACATCTACAATCTAGAAATTTGTAACCAACAAAGGTAATACAATGATTGTAAAAAAGAAATGAATCATGAGCTGCAAAGGGGTGTAAAGTTATACTAAAAAGGATGACTAGTGTTGAGTCCAGGGTTTAGGAAAGAATTAGTTTAGTGTAGGGGTTTGGCTGAGGAGCAATATTTGTCAGAACACATATCATACAACCCACTTTGTAAAGAGCAAAATATTACCATAATTTTTGTTTTGTTGATGTTTTCTTTAGTTTTGTTCGGTCAATCACGATGGACAAATGGAAGGACAGCGAGCTTGAGAAGATGAAGGCCGGAGGTAACAATACAGCCAGAGAGTTCATCAAAGGTCAACCAGACTATGATCCTAACTGGTCATTTCAAGAGAAGTTCAACAGTAAAGCTGCAGCACTCTTCAGAGATAAGGTAAATTCTTTATTTCTGTGTTTAGATTTATTTAAATTCATCATGTGGTTTCATCATATTGCTAGACAAGAACCGGGGGGGGGGGGGGGGGGGGGGGGGGGGGTGCTTCACAAAGATCCTAAGTTGAACTTATCTCTAAGTTGGACATAACAATTATGGAAAGCTGTTTAAGTTATTTTAAAAGGCATAAAATGTTGAATCAAATCATTCATATTTTCTATATATTATCAAAGAGATTTGAATCATGTTCTTGATGTTGAATTTATGAAAAGTCTAAAATACTTAAGATTTTTGCTTTTGAATATATTTTATTTCAAGGCTACAAATGGCTCTCCATAATTTTAAAGTCCAACTTTGACTTTGGATCTTTGTGAAACACCCCCCTGATATTTATTTATTTCATTCCTGTAGGTTCTGACAGAGGCGAATGGCGAGACATGGTCGATCGAGACATCTAAAGCGCGCAATCACATTCCATACACTGCTAAGAAGATGAACCTCAGCGCAGCATCATCTAGTTCTATACATCACTCCAACAGTTCACCCAGCTTTGGAGGAGGAAGAGGGGGAGGAGGGGGAGGAGGAGGAGGAGGAGGGTTGTATAACTCTGGAGGTGCTGCGCAGCCAGGTGGTGGAGGTCACGGATCTGATGATTGGGAAATGCAGTATGGAATGTCAAAGTAAGATATCGTGTTTTATCTTTTTTTATCTTTTAATTTTTTGTTTATAATAATAATAAAAGCAGTGCTTATAGAGCGCTTACCACCGAAGTCTCTAAGCGCTATAACTAAGGAAATATAATGATAAACAATTATATATTGAACAAGACAGAAAGGTAAATGCAAATAAACCTGCAAATTACAATACATATGAAATGTACATCAATGTGAACAGAGTAAGTTAATCATCAAAAGCAATTTTGAATAAATGTTCAACATGGTTTCGTATCCTTCATGTAATTTACATTACATCAGGATATTTAGAGGTGTCAAAGTCTAGTGGATAGGTCGCTGGACTGTGGATCACATGGTCTGAGGTTTTAGTTCCGAAGGATTGATACATATGCAATATAAACGTAGCTATTATTATTATTATCATTATGATTTTGATGTTATTTGATTCAATATGTCTCATATCATGGACATTGCCAAAACCTGAAACCATCTCTTCAAAGATGTGGGACTTCATTATGATAACATTGTTAATAAATTTTTGTGTGGTTCCATTTATTTCTGAAAAAGTTATTAATGCAAAATAAGAAAATTGTGTGCTGGTAATTTTTATCTTCACCATTGGTCTGCTAGTGTGATTTTAGGCCCATATTATGAAAATTGTATTGGTTTATTCTCTTTTCGGTTTAATCGTTAACTGTCAGGTTTTGGACAACAGTCACACAGAAATCAAGATCACTGAGTTGTTGTATAACCAGGGGGTGTTTCAGAAAGACTGAGAATGACTTTAAGTTGGACTTAACTATGGCAGGCCGTTCATGCCACTGTTTGCTCTCACTATTTACTGGCATTGGTCTCTCAATCATGGTCACAAATCTACAGAATTTACATTTTTTGATAATTCATTAATGAAGGAAAAAGTATTATCTAAAGACATAATTGAGAGACCAATGGTGAGAGCAACTAGTGGCATGAATGGCCTGCCATAGTTAAGTCCAACTTAAAGTCGACCTTATTCTTTGTGAAACACCCCCCATACTTACATGCTTATATTATCCATTTCTCTTACCATCTCTTACAGATCAGAGATAACTAAAAATAAAGAAGATTACTTTGACAGAAAGAAGGCTGAGAATGCAAACCGTCCAGAGTAAGTACTCATAATCACTGATTTCATTATACTGGGCACTCTCTATGCAATGAGCACGATTACCACAACGTTTCATTTAAAGGCCGTCTGTACTAGTTTGGCTAGGAGGGATTGGACCACCCAAGGTGGTCACTGACAGGTGGCTATCTCATCAACTCAGCTCTCAATTAACATAAGAAAAAGAGGATCATGGGGGACTAATGGTCACCAATTAGGCATTGTTTTCTATATAGAGGGAGCAAGTAGCTACAAGTAGTACAGTGGGGCTTTAATATAGCATGGGAATTCTCCAGGTCCCAAATGTTTCAACATGCAATCCTACGGTCGAGCAACCCTTTACTTCCCTTTTGATACGTTAGTCAATGTAAAGAGCAAAATGTATTATTTTAGGTAGGATTTAGGTCCACAAGGTAATACGATTAATAGTTTAAATAAATCCATGCATATAGTTAGCAACTTTGTGTTATTATTTCTTAAGTATTGCCCATGAACTGTTTTTCATTTTCTATTATTTTTGAATATATTGCACCAAACTAATACAGGAATAGATTTATTATAAAAAAAAATTAAAAAAAAAACAAACCCAAATCACTTTTTCTGTGCACGTAACATCATACATGGGCATTCAATGTTCACTGGCGATTTCATCTTTAAATTTAAAGCATGCTAGGAAACTAAGCATTTTAATCAAGCTACACACAGATAGTCAGACTCTATGGGTGGTATTTTTGAAAGCAGACTAACTTTAGTCCATGGATTAATCCACTGACTAAGTATGGAATGCCAAGTGTCCATATGAACATGTTTTTGAATGATTTAATCTGTCACTAAATGTAATAACATTTGATTAACAACAATATAACTATGATATAATTATGTTTTCATGGTTATTTAGGGACATATCAAATTATTCAAAAATATATTCATATGGACACTTGGCATTCCATACTTAGTCGGTGGATTAAGCCATGGACTAAAGTTTGTCTGCTTTCGAGAATACCACCCTATAAGATTAGGTATGCATTGGATGGTGGGCAATGGCATAAAATCTCAGTTGATGTCAAGCTCAATATATTCAATGGGTCAATGCTGTTCTTCTTTGTTCCTTACAGTAATTTACCTCCCAGCCAGGGGGGTAAATACACAGGATTTGGAAACACACCGATGCCAACAGAAAACCAGTCTGATGCTATGGCATCGTTATCATCGGTAAGTTTGATTCAAGTTAGAATATTGCTTCTTTGATACCGTAATTAATGGTGTATAAACCGCCTTCGTGTATTAATTTTTATTTTTTTATTTTTTTTGCCGACTCTGTCGGCATCAAGCCAGATCCGTGTTAAATAACCCACGCGGGAAGGCCTTTCATTTAACTGCGAGGTGCAGCTGAATGTGTTAGATCATTAATGTAAATTAAAAAAACAGTAGAGGACCTAGGATAGAACCTTGTGGTACGCTGTGTAATAGAAGAAAAATTGGAGGAATTATTATTATAAACTACATATTGAGATCTATCAGAAAGATTACTTTCAAACCAAGATGACAGACAAATTTGAGTGTTCTAGTTTCCCAGTGGTGAGTCAACACACCGATTACTGAGCTGGGAGACATTGCCAGGCATAGCGCCAGGCGGAGGGGCATACATCAAAACTTTACAAAAATTAAAAAAATAAAAATTGTGTACCGTGTATAAGACACACCCCAACTTTGAATATTTTCCGGCGGCAAAAAAGTGCGGTTTATACATCGTTAATTACGGTAGATTAAATTCTGAGTTTGGTTAAAGGGATTGGGTAACTTTGTCTCAGGTTCTGAAACAAAATCCTGGCTTAAGCTCATGCAGCAAATTTGTCACTGATATTTGTCTGTTGTCATTGAAAAAAGGCTTTGTGAAACACCCCCCTGGTAAAGGAGGTTAGGAAGGCTTCTGTCCTCCTCACCCCCACCCCCACCCCTCAAAAAAAATTTGCCCCAGAAAGGGAGAGAAAAAGAAAAAAAGAAGGAAAAGAAAGAAGAAATAAAGAGACAAAATGGTAAGGAAAAGACCCCCCCCCCCCTATTGCCACCTTGTCTCCAATGGAAGCTATGGTTTCAATATAGTATACCATTAAGTCATTATTTTGGAAGGCCTATTTTACCTTTGCAATATCAATGATGTGCTTTAAGTTTATTCACTGATCTTTTTAAAGTTTTTTTTGTTTTTGTTTTGTTTTGTATTTTTTGCAGGGCTGGGCTTCATTTACAGTGGGTGCATCCAAGTTTTTATCAGCAACAAAAGAAGGAGTGAGTATTTAAACAAAATACAGTCAAACCTCTATATTAAGGTCACCCAAGGGAAACAGAAATAGTGGCCACTATAGACAGGTCACCTTGTAGACAGATGACCTTGTAGACAGGTGATACAATACATACTTCTTTCTTGAGGGAGACAAAATGCATGGCCTTTATAGACAGGTGGCTGCTATAGAGAAGTGGCCACTAAGACAGGTTTTGACTGTATTTGAATTAAAATCTATAAGCCACTTACATGAATGCACAAAATCTACTACAGTCAAAACCGGTCTATAACAACCGCCTGAGGTAAACACAAAAAGTGGTCTCAGTCTCTGTAGGCAGGTGGTCTTTGTAGATAGGTTCCTTTAGTTCATGTTTCAATGAAAAAACGTTTTCAAGTGAAACAAAAAAATGTGGTCCTTGTAGACAGGTGGTCACTAAAGCAGGTTTGACTGTATTTTGCAACATTTCTACAATAAAGGAAACTCCCCTGTTAAATTGTGCCATATGAAGTATCTCTTCATATCTTCTAAGCTGTTACAAAACGAAATATGTAATTACTGTGTTTTCAACTCTAGAGAAAATGTGATCCTTCTGTGCTTTTGTTGTATTTGATAGCAGTGTTCTGATTAGACTTATAATTATTAATTATAAAGAAACTACCATGGGTGTCCATCCGTAACTGATACCTATTCATCAGGGGGGGATGATCTATTCATTCATCCCCCCCTGATGAATAGGTATTACGTAAGTATCGACACCCATGGAAACTACTACAGTAATTGTTAGGCAGGTGTTCCAAATTCATAGGAAACAAAATGTTGTTCTATCTCATATTTCTGTAGCAGATTAAAACTATTAGTATCTTGCTACTTACCAACATATAATAAAGGAATATAATGATTTTTTGTGTGTGTGTGTGCTTACAAGATACAGAATGATTCTCTCTACGAAATGTTAAATTCAAGAGCAATTTTATTTTTTATTTTTTCTTCTTTAATTTTTGTTATATTTATCTATTTATTTAATTTCTATTTAACAGGCTGTCAAAATTGGCTCGGCAGCATCGCAAAAAGTGAGTGTTAATTGATGTTGCTAACATGATCCCTCAATCCCAATGGTACATAAAAAATATGAAAAGATGGTTTATTACCATGCTGCAACTCTGTTGTCCTGCTGTTACTGTATAGCTAGCTACACAAAGTTTGCACATACATTACATGTACAGTTTACTACATACATGTAATGTATACAACATAGGAGCCAGAACAATATAACACTGAGTTCCTATAGGAAATCTATTTATTCAGATGGTAATATCTCAGCCAATACTTCACAAATTCAATTGGTTTTCGACATTTGGACATTATTTTTGATGCTCTTTCGGAAAATGAAGAAAAAATTGAGAAATTCCAAAAGTAGATTTTTATGATGTCACAGCTTCGGTACTCTATACAGGTAGGTACAGTAGTCAAAATTCATTTGTAAGTTGAAAGACCATGTAGGAAGTGGAAAATGAAGTAGGTGAATTATATATCAACGAAAAGCTTATAAGCTATAGATTACGATAAGATCAATTATCAGAATCAATTTAGTGTCTTGTCAGAGGAGTAACAACTCTCTGAAAACTTGAAACCTAAAGCTTTGAAAGTCGGAAGTTGCCATCATGATGACATCTTATATGGAGTACGCATATTCACAATTACTTTGCATTCATTAAGTGAGGCCTATCTCCTCAGCTATCGTCGTCACCATCATCGTCACGATGCTTCTCAAGAGGGTTGTATTTGAGCACCACTGTCACACGTTCAATTCTGCGCAATATCCTTTTGTGTGAATTATTTTTCAATGCATTTCTTTGTGATTGCCTCTTCAGACTCAGGAGTATGCTGCAAAGATGAATGAGAATATGATCAAACCTACCAAAGAGAAGGTGAATGAAGGAACGTTATTCACTGATATATCAACAGGAACTAAGAGTCTCGCATCAAAGGTAACAAATACGAACACTTATTCAAAATTTGACTTGATATCAACCCCTTTTAGGGTGTGAGGAGCAATTCTCAACCAAGAACGTGGGGACTGAATAATTTGTTTGAACTAAGAATTACTGGTCATTTTTAACCCAAACTGGAAAGGTCATTTTGAAGTGTACCTCCATGGAATACATTTTTCCCAGTTTGACAATGAACAAGTAAAGATAGAAAGGACAGGAGGAGGAGGAGGAGGAGGGGGAGGGGGAGGGGGAGGGGGAGGGGGAGGGGGAGGAGGAGGGGAGGGGGAGGGGGAGGGGAGAGAGAGAGAGAGAGAGAGAGAGAGAGGGGGGGGGGGGAGAGAGGGGGAGGAGGAGGAGGGGGGGGGGGCAAGAGGAGGAGGAGGAGAAGAAGAGGAGAGGTCAGATAGAAAGAGAGGGCGATGTCAAAGGAGGAGGAGGAGAGGAGAGGAGGGGAGAGATAGAAAGGACAGGAGAGGAGAGGAGAGAGCTAGAAAAGATGGGAGGGGGAGGGGCAGGAGGAGGAGGAGGAGGAGGAGGAAGAGGAAGAGAAGGAGGAGGAGAAGAAGAGGAGAGGAGAGATAGAGAGAGAGGGAGGGATGTTAAAGAAAAGCTAACAATAATTAATCTGTTGATGTTTTTCTTGCTAGGTTGCTGTTAATACACAGAAAGGCTGGACTGATTTTACCAAGATGTTCAGTGATAATCCAGGTCTTGAAGATGACATGAATAAACCTTCAACAGGCACGCCTTTGATGGGAGACCCAGTAGCAAAGGCACAGAGAGAAAAACTCAGGTATGAACACTGCATTAATTATATGCATCTAATAGTGCAAATGCCAAAGACAGATATGAACACTGCAATATGTACATTGTACTATTTGCAAATCACAAGTGTGAGCACTGCTATATGTGCATAGCTCAAATGCCAAGGACAGATATGAACACTGCTATACATGTAAGTGCATAGATCACATGCAGATGACAAATACGAACACAGTTGGTGAGGCATTTATCAAATGCAAAAGACAAATATGAACACTGCAATATGTATATTGTACAGTGCAAATTGACAAATAAACACTGCTCTTTTATGCATTACATGAATGCAAATAACAAGCATGAACACTGCTGTGTATGCATCGAGTACAAATGGAAATGACAAAATGAACACTGCAATGTGTGCATAGTAGGAATACAATTGTTAATATAAACACTGGTATGTATATATATATATATATATTTATATACATACAAATGCCAAAGACAAATATAAACACTGCAGTATGTGCATTGTACAAAGGAACATTGATATGTGAGCACTGCATTTAATGTACATCATACCAATGGAAATAATATCACATACATTGCAGTACACATCCTATATTGGCAAATGTAAACATTGCAATACACAACATATTGCATCATGAGATATATGTAAATGGTAAAAAACATATGTATGGCATAGATATCAAGCGAAAGGTAAACTAAACCATTCCATGAAGGGAAGATTCTAACCGCACTGCTCATACCCATGCTTGATTCATGCCCTCATCGTTGTCTGCTGCCCTCAAGCTAGCCTTGCAGGGCAGTCACATACCCTTATCTGTCATTGTGCGTAACAGTGTCTGCACTGTGAGACTAGGCTAACAGCATACTACATGTGCATAGGCTATGTATTTTAGCTGCTCCGGACACAGCGGTCCACACTATATGGGCTCCAAGATTCTTTCATTAATACAGTCAAACCTGCTTTAGTGACCACCTGTCTACAAAGGCCACATTTGTTATTTCCCTTGAAAATGGTTTCTTATTGAATCATGTACTAAAGGAACCTGTCTACAAAGACCACCTGTCTGCAAAGGCCACTTTTTGTGTTTCCCTTGGGCGGTCGCTAAAGACAGGTTTGACTGTACTAGCTAGCTGGCTAAACCTGCGCATGCGCACTTGGTAACCGTTGGGGTTAGTGATAGGGTTATAATAATCATGCAAACCCACCTATCATCAACCGGTAAGGACAGCGTAATACAACGTTGAAGTTGTGGGTTTAAATCTCAGTATTCATTCAGTTATATTTTTTTTACCTTTATAAATAGTGATGCAAAGCAATAAATAATCACAGTCTAATTGTCTGTGAGCTAGGCACAGCTACATGTAGCTAGACTCTTCACGAGCCGTAAAAATCGTGACCTTTACTGTGAATTCACTAAAAACTCTGGAATAACTTACCATTTGAAGTCAGAAAATCACCATCTGTGAATATCTTTAAATAAAAATTGAAAGCACATCTTTTCAGTACCGGTAAACTGTAAATCTAAGTATATCAGGAGCTCTTGTAGCGCAGTAGAATATATACTTAACGTTGGATAGTTTCTGCGCTCTTATAAATGTATTATTATTATTATTATTAATAATGAACACATCTTGGAGCCCATATAGTGTCGACCTGTGCATTGTCATTGTCAGAGCAGCTGACGTCATGTAATTATTCTGTTCCGTCCTTCCATCCATCTATAGACTACAATCTTCAGTATCCATTTCAATGCATACGAATTGTAGACCATCAAATACATATACATGCTTGCATGCTTTCATGATTGTGTTCATCATTTTGTAACATTAATAGCAATTTCATATATATTCATACTGCATGGATTGGTATTACTGACATCATATGTAGAAGTGATTTGTATGTATGTTGCATGGTGCATGTAGGTGGCCTATTAACTTAGTACATTATATACATGTTCTTATATTAGTGATATTATATAAACCAAGGCCTAAATTCACAAAGGAGGTGTAGGTTCAACCAACTTCTAAACAATGGTTAAAACTCAATTTGGACTTAATTACACTGAAATGAAAAGTAACTTTAGTATTGCATCCTTTAATAAAAAAGAATAACTAAAAAATAAGCATACATCAGCATATAAACATAAGTTTATTATTGGCGATTGGACATGAGTAGTTTTGATTACATGCATGTACATACTACGCTTATGGAGGTTAATCTATGGATTAAGATATGAAACCTGCTTTGTGAATTCAGGCCTAAATGTTTGACCTTTATAAATTATAATGCATGAGGACAGCTTTCGTATAATTACATGTATGTATTGTTACTGGTATTCAAGTCTTCCGGTACTCTGTTTTTACAAATATCACCAAAGTTTGAAGAATTGTCTTTTTTCATTTAATTGATTTTTAAAATACCGCGATGAAAGATTTAAAAATATTTTTTAATGAATTTTGGTCATCTTAACCAAAAAGATAATGTAGGCCATTGTAGGGTAAATTCTAAATTCTTAATGTACATGTAGATGGGATACGGTACATGTTATTTGTCATGTACATTTTTTTGTAGATCTTTGAGATTATTTTGTGAACTCACATATATGTATAATGCTTTGACAACATTTGCTCTTATTTCATGAAAGATGTACATATTGGGTTATACCGGTGGGCTAGGTTTAGGCTTAAAGCTAGGGTTACATGTATAGGTTGGTATAGGACTGTTTGCAATGTTTGAGTTACACATGTGACTTTGATGATATTAGTAATTGATCGTAGAGCAATTGTTGTAGCATACATGTGACGTGCAATAAGCCATTTTCGTAATGTTGGCCTTTGTGAAATGCCTTGATACAAATTATTTCATTCAACTGCTAGGAATAATAGTACCTCCATAGGCAGAATACGAATTGCAAACATTGGTTATTGCTAGGTAGGACAAACATTATGGCTTGCCCTACCTTACGTAATGTACGGTTTGCAATTTGCATTCTGACTTCTAGTATATACAATTAACCATGACAGCTGAATGGAATCATTTGTATTGAGGCACTTCACAAAGCCGTATGTATTCAATTTGGTTATAGAGTGGTGAAATGTGACGTCATAACAAATCTATATTTGGAATTTCTCGATTTTTTTCTTCATTTTCCAGAAGAGCATCAAAAATAATGTCCAAATGTTGAAAACCAATTGAATAGGTTTAGTATTGGCTGAGATATGACCATCTGAATAAATAAATGTCTTATTGGAACTCAGTGTCATATTGCTCTGGTTCATCATAACATTACGAGCCAGAGCAACATAACACTGAGTTCTATTTATTCAGATGGTCATATCTCAGCCAATACTTAACATATTCAATTGGCTTTCGACATTTGGACATTATTTTTGATGCTCTTTTGAAAAATGAAGACAAAATTGAGAAATTCCTAATATAGATTTTTGATGACGTCACAACTTCGGTTCTCTATATATTACAAAGATGGCCAATTGTTTATTCATGTAGATTGTAGTAGTAGTAGTAGATTGTAGTGTGTACTTTCACTGCCTACATTTAGATGCTTAATGTGTTTACCCTCGTGCTTTCGTTTATTCCCTCTTTATATATCCCACCTCTCCACCTCACCTCTCTACCTCTCACTCATCTATTAATGGTCGCTAAACTCATGGACGGGGTACCTAATACATTCATTTACTCAAAACATAACACATACATGTGGCCCTTGTCTCTGCCTCCGGTCAAAAAATTCTTATCTTCCGCATATCATATATCATATCAAATATATTCAAATGTAAATCACTTATAACTGCATAACAAATGTTTACTTACTTACACTGTTTATCCCTATTCATTTACTCAAAAAATAACACATCCGTCAAAAATATTCTTATTTTCTGCATATCATATACCTTTATCATACAACATATATTCAAATGTAAATCACTTATAACTACATAACAAATGTTTACTTACTTATATCCCTATCCTTCTCCTACAAACTGTTATTGTCAAATAATTTATTATCCCTACCCCACAAATCCACAACAAACCATGACAATGTCGTGACCGCACATCATTTGCTGTACTTATTATACAAAACATGCAATTTTACACATGTACATGTATTTGTTGTACTGTGGTTGAATAACCACATATTTTTATACCCTGCCTATTTCATGCTACATGTGAATTAAACATGTACATTAATTCCCCAAACTGATCTTTACATCCAACATAATGATGCTCAACCGCTTCTTACAACATTTCTGCAAAAATGTGTTTCATAATCCTCAAAAAATTGTTTTTCCGTTCATAATACATATGATCATTGCCAATGAAAATTAATGTATACAAATTAAATTTCCACTGTACATCCATGCACACTTCAAATATTAAAAAACAACAACGTTATATCGTTTATATCATTCTTACTGACAAACTATTCACTCATAATAATTGCTGAAAACTAACAAAATTTTGAAAATGATATTAAACATTGCTTGGGCTATTTTTGTGATGTGTTTTGCTATTTTGATGCAATTCGGAAATTGCCTATTTTGGCATTTGGGAATTTTGGGGAATTTTCTTCTGTATTGCTCTTATTATTATCTGAAAAAAATCACAAATACTTTGAGGAATATTGCCACAAAATGGAAATCATCATACCAACAAATTATTGCATCTGGAAAATTTGGGAAAACAAAACTGGGATTGGGCTCTGGAATTGGGAACATTAGAAACATGGACCCCAATAAGAGTGACACGCCTTTACTTCACGATATCCCGACCCCTCCCAGGACCCCTGAGGGTGACGGTGATGACTGGGGGTGGGGCGTGGATGATGGCTGGAGGGATCGCAAGGTGGAGGAGGAGGCGGAGAGGGAGCTAGAGGCGACGGCGGACGACGGATGGGGGTCATGGGGTAACGAGGGGACCGGAGGAGGAGGAGGAGGTGGAACTCTTATTGACTTTGGAGATGAGTAAGTTTGAATTTAATCTATCGGGTTAGGGTTTCTCAACAGGGGAGTGTTTCACAAAGACTAAGATCGACTTTAAGTTGGACTTAACTATGGCATCTGTTTGCTCTCACCATTTACTGGCATTGGGTCTCTCAAGGGATGTACAAATTGTGGTCACAAATCTACAGTATTTACCTTTTTTGAAAAAATATTATCTAAAGTCAAGATCATAATTGAGAGACTAATTGTGAGAGCAATCAGTGGCATGAGAATGGCCTGCCATGTAGTTACGTCAACCTTAAAGTGAATCTTAGTCTTTGTGAAACCCCCCCCCCCTGAAAACAGAGTACACTGCCACATTGTTTTGGAGTATATCTTACATGTACATTATATGTGTGACAAATCTTGACTGTTTCAAACCATTGTTTGTTCAATCAATCATACTAGGCAGATAAGGGGTTAGAGACTTATTTGGTAAGCATTTTATTCAAATTAGCAATACAGGTCTATTACTGCAACTGCTACGTTATTTTCACAAACAGGTGTGCATATACATCTGAAATGAAAGAGGTAAAGCAAAACTTCAGAATGAGGTAAACTAAGTTCTGAAAATAATCATGAGAAAAAAAAATGAAAAAAAAAGAACAAAGTATTCTTGTTGTATATTTACCTTTCAAAGTTACACATGAATCTAAAAAAGAGCAAACTGATAAGTTTATGAAGTTGTAGGATAAGAAAGAAAGTGGATGTGGAACATGAAGCATCCTAGAAAAGAGATCTAATGAAAAAGAAGTAGCAAAACATTCCAGCAAAGGGATCAAATTAAAAAGAGAAAATAGAGGATTCGGCAGAGATTACAGGTATACCAGATTAACTGTATTAAATATTGTGTTTCTTATAGGAGATGATAATTGATGTACCGGTAGATTAAATCATCATCTATGTCATGCAAGTGTTAAGTGAAATTGTACATTGAGATAGCTACATAGATCATGAATCCACCAAGGGGTGTTTCACAAAGATCCCAAGTTGAACTTATTCCTAAGTTGAACTTATCAATTATGGAAAGCCGTTGCATCTATGAAAATATTTAGTAAAAGTTATTTTAAAAGGCATGAAATGTTGATTCAAATCATTAATATTTTCTATTACGAACAAGGATTTCATGTTCTTGATGTGGAATTTATAAAAAGTCTAAAATACTTCCTAAAATTTTCGCTTTTGAATAAATTTTATTTTAAAGCTACAAATGGCTCTCCATAATATTTAAGTCTAACTTAGAATTAAGTTCAACTTTGAATCTTTGTGAAACACCCCCTGGTAATTCCAATTGTATTGCAAATTGATGTTGATATAGGGACTCGAGTAGCAAGGTGAATACTTCCAAGACAAAATCGTCCACCAAGTCATCGTCGAGCAAATCCTCATCAAGTAAGAAATCGTCATCGTCGTCGTCATCGAGTACGAAGGCTGCTCAGGTGAACAGCGGGAAACCCATCGCATCGTTAGAAGATACGTGGGACGACGCGGGAGGCTGGGACGATGCAGCGTGGGAGGAGTTAGAGACCAATCCAAAGAAAGACTGATATCCAAACAGTTGAGAAGTCCAGCGGCCCGTTTCACAAAATTTGTCATCAGTGACAAATGACAGTGTTTGTTATAAGCTACTGAAATCCGATTTGTCACTGATTTTTGTCATTTGTCATTGAAAAAATGCTTTGAGAAACGGGTCCCAGGACTCAAAGGACTGACTGATTGCCACTTTTCCACAAGTCCTAGATGAAGACCAGAACTAATTGCAACCATTTGCGGAAACATAGACCAGGGCCTCTAGAGGTCAGTGGTTTATGCGTAAATTAAGATTGTGCCCATGCAAATTGTGATGACATCACTGCCTGCGCGCTGTGTTGTGCGCGTACATCATCATTTGCATGGGTGCAATCTTAATTTACGCATAAATACCACTGACCTCTAGGTCATTGGCTTTGTTTACTCGTCAATTAAAATGGTGCTCATGTCTGTGCATGTGCACTGATGTAACCGTAAACTGGTGTACTGGAAAAACAAAACCAACCCAAAATTCATAATAAGGCATGCATAGGCAGCTAGCTGCATGCAAAAAATCAACCAATGACTTGTTTTACTTTAACTTTTTATGATAGTTAAAATACTTTCACCAATATAAAAGAAACCATATTTTTCAGAATATCACCCCTGTAACCTGTTTAGATTCTAGTAAATATATATGAAACTGGTATAAAGAAACGTAAAGCGTATAAAGAATTGCATAGCAAAACGAGCGTACAGGCTATAAAACATCATTGTATAAGGTGACATAGTTTAAAGCCCTTCTGCGCTAGTTTGGCCAGGGGGATTATACCTCCCTGCAAGGTCACTGACAGGTGTTTATCTCATTAAATCAGCTCTCGGTTAACATAAGAAAAAGGGGATCATGGGGACCAACAGACACCGATTAGGCATTGTTTACTATATAGAGGGCGCAAGTAGGTATAAGTAGTGCAGTGGGGCTTTAAAACAACTAATTTTGAAGAGGTCAGTTGTCATGACAGTTGGACAATGTACGCTCACGATAAGCCCCGCCCAGTCACATGACTTCCTGACTTGAGCCGAATGCTGATTCTTTATCAAATTTTTGTCAGGCATCTTTGCTATACAACATTGTTCAGACTACGGAAACAATGAAGTACTTGCCATATAGCTAAGCAATGAATTTTGGTATTCTGAAGACAGGTAAGGCAATGTTTCATAAGACCCTGACTTCTGCCATAGTTCTGTCAAACTTAGATTGGACCCTGTGGCTGTGGCTGGGGTAAATCCTAAATCCTAAATCCAGTATTTTAAAGCAATTCGTTCCTATTTTCACGAAGTGGCGGCAGTGAGGAAAATCTGCATGCAAATTGTATGCAATTTTCATTCACTACCGTCACTTCGTGAAAATAGGGACAAATTCTTTAACAATTAAAATACTGGATTTACTATCTGTTGTGATTCTATATTGTATCTACATGTATATGCTGGTTTTATAATGAGCTTTCAGGCCTTTAACCTTGACCAGAATTTGAAGCTGATGTTATTAGGGAAGCTGAGCGAAACTTAGTGGCACGATAAGAAGCGTCCGGAACCCAAAATGCGCAATATCTAGTATTCTTATTTGACATATCTGGGTGAAAGGTAATAAAGAGAAGGTTGAGTTCTGGGGAGAGGTGAAAAATAATTTGTGAGCATTGTCATTGTTATTATGTCAGTGTGGAAGAACATCAGAGAAAAAAATGTTCCCTGAAAAGCATGGCTCTTCAAACGCCTTAATATTCTAAATGACTTCAGAACCTTGCTGTACACACTAATACTTGTATGCTAGATGATCAACCTTTTCTGATTGATTCCACACCATTTCGTTCACAGTGCAATCACATGACCAGAATTCAACTTTATCTTTAAGCCCAATGAAAGTTCATAGTACATCTTTTTACCAGCTCTATCAAAATGATGTGATTATACCTGTATGTCATTAATAGATTTTCAATGAATATGCATTTATTTCTGGAATCGTCTCTTAGTGTCACGACATTCCACTAGCCACCTTTGATCGTGAATACCGGTATAATCTTGGGTGCTGGTAGCGTAACAATTTGGTTTGAATGTTTCCCATGTATAATGTATGTAGAGGATGGCAATATTAGGAAACGGTAGTCACATGGTATACTCTTGCAATGAAACATTACACGATGTTATTCAAAGTAATTTCTGTTGTATGCACCTGTAAACAAAATTAATCTATTTATCATTGCTATTTTGTCTCTCACTTTCTATGATGACGTTAGCCTCGATCATTATCCAACGTGTAACAGGTCGTTACATATACAACTTGACCGGATGAACAAGTCAATATTGAGATTGCTTTTTTTGACCAATTTTCTTGTCCAATCTCAGTTTTCAGAAGAAATGTTTTTATTCAGTCAATTCATTTAATTTTTTTTAAAAAATGCATTTGATTCTTTTTAAAATGAATCAATTTAGATATTTGGGGTTAAAATTTCTAGTTTGCTTACCAAACCCGGCATAAAGAAATTTCTTGACCAATTTTTAGGAGAAATTATTTTATTCAGTGAATTCATCTTCATTTTTTTTAATGCATTTGATTCTTTTTAAAAATGAAAATCAATTTAGATTTTTTTGGTTAAAATTTCTAGTTTGCTTAGGGCAATTCCACGGTAACGGAAGGACACTCAGACAAGATTTTTGAACTTCAGGTTCATACTAAAAGAAATGTTTTATTAGTATGTATTAAACTATGGGGAACAAAATGTGTTTCAGTCAAGTGGAAAGCTTCATCAACTTCACAAAGTTTGGATAAACACTAATTAACTGGAAAAACCATGTCCATTTTTATGTCCTTCCGTTACCGAGATAATTAATATGCACATTCTTAAACTACTTAACTATAATGACAATTTTTTTTGGGAGAATTAAAGGCACTTATATAGGTATTATATCTATACTGTTTCACATCTTATACTAATAAAACAGTTCTTTTAGTATGAACCTGAAGTTCAAAAATCTTGTCTGAGTGTCCTTCCGTTACCGTGGAATTGCCCCTTACCAAATCAGGCATAAAGAATTTGTATAGTTTGGTTAATTGATGAATAGCACGCTGCTAATGTATGACATGAAAAGCACCTCAACGTACTGATTGAAAGATAAAAATCAATCAAAAAAATAAATTGCCAAGCTTTGTGCTACGGTGCCCAGAAAGCTTTTGCTCAGGGCCTCACCTGGATCTATTTGGTACCTATGTAAGGGATGTTGGATTGTATTAATATTTTTAGTGTATTAGTATTTATTTATCTATGAAAGTATTTTATCAAAGTAATCTTATAACTGTGTGTTGATTGCCCTCTCATGAACCTAAATGTAACTATCCTCATATATTGTAATAATAATACCGTACTTGTATCTCTACGATAGATCTTTTACTACCTAAAATGTATGCACCCTTGTAGGAATTATGTTTGAATCATGTTGATGTGAATTCAATATTGAGACTGTGTCACATGAAATTCATAAATTTACCCTTTTGCTATCACTGAAAATATGTATTTGATATTCAAAAAGGTAAAGCATATGGATAAGGAAGTGACTTTGGATGTATTATTTATACGTACAATGGTAAAAGGAACTCTAGCATAAGCAACACCCACCTAACTTCACTATTCAGGTACCATGTTTTAAGGATCTTAGTGTTTAAGATGTAAAATTCAGTCCAGTTTTCACCATGTTATTTTCACCATGTTTACAGGAATACAATCGCAAGAGGATTTCAAGAAATACATTCTAGGCCGATTTTTAGATGTAATTCATTTTGCACACATTGGTTGTTGCTATGCCAGGCAATAACTGGTATGTTTTTGAGTATTGAGAAACTATTGTTTTAGAATTATGCATAAGGGGGTCTATTTTATTTTATGTCGACTTGTCATGGTAATAACCCAGCTTTCCTTTTTATGTCATTGATATTGTATTATTCTTATTCTAATGGGAAATTAATTTTAAATTTTGTTTTAGAGATCATGTGATATGTATAGATAACTTGTCATGGATGGTTTGAAATTAGTGTGATGTATAGAAAGTATTTTATTGTTAAATTTACTGAGAAAATGTACTAAAATATGTCCTGTCATTATTTCACATATATACATGTACATCCCACATCATTCTGTATATGTTATTTGGACAGAAATAAATACTAATGTACACAAACAAAATAAAAAGAAAAGTATCGTTTCCATGTTGTTTTCCATTGTTACCAGCTATGCATTGTCTGAACAAGCGGAAATTGTGTGACCTGTGTGTGGGTGGATATTTCTCCAAAAATATGTAATGCATCTAGAATTTTTGATGATCTCAACGATTTATCCACCAAGGAATTCATTGAAGAAATTATTTTCTTCATAGACTAATGTTTCTGCGATCTCATAGAGATCAATGGATATGTTTGTAATATATGTACTGAACGTGTAAATATTAATAGTTTACTAGAAATTGGGAACTTATGACATGTAACTCCTTCCCATCTCTCTCTTTCCCTCTCTCTCTCTCTCTCTCTCTCTCTCTCTCTCTCTCTCTCTCTCTCTCTCTCTCTCTTCTTTGCTGTCCTCTTTATCTTCTCTCTATAGCCATGTATTTCTTTCTCTATCTTCCATTCTCCATTTTCTCTCTCTCTCTCGTATAACATAATTTATCTTACCTGTATATCTGTTTTCTTTCCTATACTTCCTTTCTTACCCCCCCCCCCAACTTTGCTTCTCTTGATCTATTTTTCTGATGTTTTTCCCTCAATATTACCAAGTCGCCTAATCTTCTCTTCTCAATTTGCAACGACGCGGTCGGTCTTCTCTCCTCTCTTCTCTTTCCCCTTTATATTTATTTGTATATCTCTTTTCAGACTTTCCTCTTTCTTTCTTTCTCTCTCATCTATTAATACCATTGCATCTCATATAATGTCCAGTTAATTCTTGTTTCATATTTTCAATCCTCTTCGCCTTCTGCTCAATTAATGATAGATAGAATCTATAGCTTTGTGATGAACGTCATATATCTAAGAATTTGTATAACCAATCTTTTTTCCTTCCTACACTGCCATTTTATTCTTCATGCAACCGATCCATAGCATTCATGATTTTTTTGTTATAGTAATCATCTTTTATTCTCAAAATTGTACAAAAATTCGTGTCAAAATGTGGCGGTGATTCTTAAACACAAAGTACGTGCATGACTGTAAAGGCACTTGTCAATTTATGTCGTACCCAGTCAAGCAGTATATGACATTGTACAACAATATCTAAATTAACTTTACCATCAACTGTAAACGCACGATACAAAACTCACTGAGGTACAAAGTAAGCTCCGGGCTTGACGATGTTAAATCACTCCTCATTTGTATTGCCAACATTAATAGGCCTACAGTTAAAACTTTCCTTACTTAAAAAAGAATGCTGTAATACTATGCATCTAGAACTGTGTATTGATATGAAATAGTACTTTTATATGAAAATGTAAGAAAGTCCTCTTTTATCATCATGTTCATGACTCCTCAAGGGGAGTCGACGCAATAATGACTTACGAATTACAGTACATTTACGTTCTACATATATCTACGTACGTGCTTTCGCCCGCATCATTTCAAAACTAACTGGGTACCCTAAAGCGTTTAAGGCATATCCTTCTATCTTGGACATTGTTCTAGGTCCCTAGATATGACCGATCAGTTTGAGACCAATTTACGAAAGTATACATGCCCTCTAATATTTCCACGGTGAAATAGAGTGAGATATCAGATAGATGGAATTACTGTTTTCTATACAACTTTCCATATTTGTGTTAGTTACGCATTATCTGGCATGCAAATACAGGTACAAAAGTGACAATTTAACAAGTATATACTGCTGAGTTGTAACATAATTCACACGTACGTTAGTTGTTCAGCCTTTAACCTTTATCACAACAATTTAAAGCTCCTCTTCTGGTTCCATTGCACATGTCTAGGCTTTTATCTTTTTGCTCGTGAGACAAAGGCTATCATGACTTAATATATTCAATATTATGTCTGTGTAATAATATACAATACTCTTATACATCAACATTCGCTTATTGATCCGCGTGTGAGTTTCCGCCACCTGCTGTGCTCGTCTCCATGGCTACGGGCCCGCCCACTTCTACCACCTCACTTCCATCATTTTGCACGATGTCATAACTGGGCGGGGCTGCAGGTAGCGTGGTATCCATGGGAATCGGATCATCTTGAGTAGCCGGAGGAGGCGTGGCATGTTCGTCATCCGTATTAACATCCTTGCTGTACGCAGGCGGTTGGGCGTCATCCTTGGCGGATTGCTCGTACGAAGGAGGTGCCTCAAAGTTTCCTTGAGGAACGCCACTTTCGGCGTCAGTGGTAGCGTTATTCTGTAAGCTGCGGCGTCTCTGGAGGTTGATACTGCGACGTACGGCCATAGCGCGGGTCTTCTGCTTTCGTTTCTTTTCGTAGACCTTCCTCAGTAACATGACACAGCAGAAAATGCCCAAAACGCCCCCAACGAAGATGAGGGTGATAGCCCACCATGGTAACGGCTCTGTCAAGAAAAAGAAAAAAGAAGTTGAGAGAAAAAAGTTAACGATGTATGATAGCAGCCGTTGAAATAAATTGTTCTGCCTACATTAAATAGTAGCATTATAGCAATGAACATACGATATAATACATTAAAAAAGATAATTGGACGCATTTCAAGATTACTTAATATTGCATCACATCAAAATCAATACCAGTGGAAACGTAAGTAACATTTCGACATGCACATGCTCCGAACTTTGTCAATTAATTAATTAATTAATCCATCTCTTAACTATTTTTCTCTGTTGCCGAATTTGTTTACGCAATTAATATTTCGAAATGTATCGTCTAGAATCGTCTAGAACATTTTATTCCCCTGAAGTAATTGTATTTGGTTTGGTTCAGTGGGGGTTATTAATTATTACCTGACTGCTAAGAAAGCATAAATGCTTGTCATTAAGCAGCAAGAGGACCGACGGCTTTAGGGTCCTCTCCGAGAGACCTGGGCAATAAGGATTAATAAATGCCTTACGAAAGGGCACTAGTGCATCGACTTGGTTTCGAACCCGGGTCACCTGATTACGAGACCAATGCTCTACCAACTGAGCTATCGCGCCTCCTAGTATATAGTCCCTACCTTTTCCTGTGGTATCTGGAGCATAATTGTTACTGCTTCCTCTATACCTGTATCTGCTTGATCTACGTCCTGTAAGAAAAAGAAGAAAAAAAAAACAGAAATAAATTTAATGTAATAATTATTATTAATGGATTGATTCTTTGTCACAATGGCCATGGTGGTATTGGAACATATTACATGATTGTCATAAAATTAACAAAAATAGAAAATATCAATATCTAATCACCCCTGCTATTGGTGAGTCACCAATCAAATGTGCGAAAATGACTATGACGTACATGATTCGAATATGATCCGGTGTTTAATTGCCACCGAGTTAATAACCTACGGTAATATAATACGTGCATAGCGTTTCACTATGTAAACTTTAACTTATATTACTCATTTAACAGTTTCAGGAGAACATTGTATTCATTTGTTTTCAAGAAATTATATTTGTAATGTTTGGTAACAAACGTTTTATCTGTCTGGGTTTTCTCTCGTTTCCTTTGATTTACCACAAGGCACGTCCGTTTGAGACAGCTCTGTCCATTATGTACTGTTTACAAATCAATGTCATGTGGACATTCGCCTTGTATAAGGTTTATGTGTCATGATCACTATCCAGTAGGATAAAATCCCTCGATCATGTTATCAAAACTTATTGGTTTTTGGTAAAGCGCTTGAACCTACGGTATCACACATTTTTACTCAAGGGGCTCCTATATCACCCCATCCAGCACTGGTTTAAAGGTACTATGTCCCTTTTGCAGCCAACCTCAAATGCTGTAGAACTTTGCAGGAATTATGAATATGTCATGTATGTCCTATCTGTGAAATTTAAATGTTAGCAGTGTCCTCATATCTAAATTATGCAAGGAAACCCGTTTACTTGCTAGACTTTACTGTCAGACACTATTGAGTGACTGACTGGCTTTTTTTTCTTCTTTGGTAATAACATACATGAAAAGAGTTGTAAAGGGTACATGAGCATTTGTCTACATCAATAACCCACTTCTTGTGATGGCCAAGATTAAACTGATTGAATCTTTGCGCAGCATAAAACGTACGACCATTCGGTACAATTGTCTGAAAATCAAGACTATTACTTTTGGGCTCTATAGCCCTAAAGTCGATTTGACAACTAATAGTCGTTATTTTCCCACTTGAAGACATTTTCAAGCCCCACCTTTTTTAGGGAAGTTCTAAATTAGTATTGTCTTTCAAATGCAGTTGGAATTTAACTTTTTCATTTTTTTGGCCTGCAAATGGGACATAGTACCTTTAATGTAGTAAAGGGTGTCACAGCATATAATAAGGAATTCAAGCTATATGGGCTCATGTACTACATGTGGGAAGAGAACAACAAATACAGATGAATGTCTTGCAAAAAGACCCAAATTGCCTAATTTTACATGTACTGCGATAAAATGCATTGTTGACGGAAATCAAACCGGCAAATGGATGAGGAGATCGAATACGTACGTCATTCCTTTCATTAGAACGTGTAATGTAAACATGATACGGCGAATAAAGTGTGCATGAGTAGAAACCAATTGTTATGTTGATAAGTTTGGAGACGTCATCATAAAAAAAGGTGATTAGTTTAATTGAACAGTTTCTCTTTCATGTCGTAGGTAAGTTCAGCATGCTGATTACGGCGAGAAGGGGAGGGGGGGGGGGGTATGTAGGAGAAGTTTTGAATAGGCATATGCGTCATCATAATGCTTAACAAAAAAGTAGGGACGGAAACATTTTCTCTTAATCTGTGGGAATGATTACGAGTACAATCCATGCTTCGATCTATATGAGTGGTTCTTTTATACTTATTTTCTGCTAGACTACTTAGGCAATCAAATAATGAAAGAGAAATACTCAAGTTCCGTGATTTAATTCTCGATACCTATTCATATACTTGCTAGCATCTTTCCCAAATGAATAATTGATATTCGGGCCTATTCATTATGCTACGACAGTACAGCACTGTAATATAAAAACCCTCTCTGTTCAACCAGTAGCGGTTCTAGAGAGGACTTTGGGGCTCTATAATTATGAGGCTAGTGCTCCCAGTAAGGCCCCACTGCCCATATTTTTGTCGTTTATGAATGAAAAAGCGAGATATAATGTAAAAGATGACTGCAATAACACCCAAGCCAGGCATGCGCCCCCTGCATGTGTGTGTATGTGTGTATATATGTTTATATGACATATATAAATATATGTATGCATATTATAAACTATAATATTTTAAAATCGCGTCTATTTTCAATACCAACTCTGTTATGTCTGCTTGATGAGGAAGTACTGTCGCACTAATATTTGTCCGACGATAAACTTTTTTTAATTTCGCATTTGCATAAAACACACTGTATTTACATATTTGCAATGTCATTGTCCAAAGTACATGTATACACTGAAAGTTTTGGGTCATGATTCTCAATGGTTTACCATTCGATATGGCTATCTGATTCTGTCACGTATCCTTCTTCTCAAGTGATCTGTTCACATCCTCTTCCCCTCCTCTTTCTACTTCTCCTTCTTCTTCTCCTTCTTCTTCTCCTCCTTCTGTCTTCTTCTTCTTCTTTTTCTTCTTATTCTTCTTCTTCTTCTTTTTCTTCTTGTTCTTCTTCTTGTTCTTGTTCTTCTTGTTCTTCTTGTTCTTCTTCTTTTTCTCCTTGTTTCTTCTTGTTCTTGTTTTACTTTTTTACTTCCTCGTCTTCTTTTCTTATTCTTCCTTTGTTAAGTTCTTAATCCTTTATTTCGTCATCACCATCGCCATCTTACCAAAAGTGGATACCAGACAAAGAGAACAAAGACCCACGCGCGTTACATTGAACCAGCTTGGTAATGAACATGGTCGATCATCTTGGCCCTGTTTACACTAGAGGATTAAACCCATTCATACTAGAGGATTAAAACCATTAAATACCCGCACGTACCCCTTTATATCCCTTCCGGATTATATGTTACCACTACATGTACTGTGTAGACAAAGGTACCAGGAAGCTCTTCATGATTTCCTTCTAAAAAGACGAATATTCGACGAATAATTTCCGCTTCTTCATGCACTTTTGTTAAATTTTTTCTTTCCGATGTTTAGATTAATACATAGATTTGTATATATTTTCAATTTCAGTTAAACATCTCTATCAATTTAAGCGCAAAACGTCAACTGATCTTACATAATTTAGTTACATGTGCGTGCAAGTATTGAGTCACCTCCTGATTTAATGTATTCTCTTCTACTATTTTTCCTGTTAATGTTATCACAAGTTTTACCTTTTATGCTCCGTCAAGTATTCAATTTCAGTCTCCCAGCCTTTAAAAAAATATGCCCTCAAACAGAAATACATCAGTAATACTACAACAAATGATAAGGACAATCTCGAGATACAATTAAAGAAAACCTCTGTAAAAGAGTAATCGGGGACATTAATCATTCTAACGAATATGTATATTATATGCTCCTCGTTATGATATACCTTACAGCAAGCCCATACGATCGAGTTCCGATCCTTATAGTTACGTTTTATTGATAACCATCCATATTTTCAAAGAGAAACAATTAATATACTGTTTCCAAAGAAACAAGCTAGTATATAATTTTGAACTTACTTGCTTCCACATAGCTGGCATGGAGAAGAAGAGATACAGCCAGAGTAACGAGCTGAAAGATGAGTGTTACTGGTCTAGATCCAGCCATACCGAGTCCTCTCGATTAGATCTGGTCCTGCTCCAAAACAGACGAAATACAGGGATATCCCTGTGATAACAGTCCAAATACGTTACGCCCTAAGTATTCCAATATAATTGTGTAGCCCTCAGCTGACACAAATACACGCACTCTTCGTGTGGTATATATACTCCGAGAGATGAAAGAAAGGTTTTTGTTGAAGGCCTATATTATCGCTGATAATGTACATATACTCTTCGTTGATCAATATCTCGACCGAAAATGAATGTCTCGCCACCGAAAGGTACCATGCAAAACTGATGTGGAGACTGTTAATATTTGCTGAGCCGTGAACTGCTTTGTTTATGTCAACACAAGTTTCCAATCCTCTGTACTCTCTCGTCGTTAAATTATGTGCCAAATACCACCAAATCAGGAAGTATATACTGGTATGGTACGTATCCCGTGGTGTTACATCGGTGGAAACCGACTTATAAACACCGGATTCGTCGATTTATTGCAACGTAATGTTCAGATGACACAATTTTGTTATGACTTCGCGAGTTTGTAAAGGTTATGGAACAAAGATTCACTGGAGCGAATCGAAAGGACAATAGACCGCTCGGTGCCTGGTGTCGATGGAAGGACCAAAATAGAATGAGGACAAACTCGGTTAGTTTGATTTTCAGGCAGACGGAGATTTAATTATGACTTCCATGAGTCATCGATGTTTAAAGACCGTCAATACTACTGGGCCAGTAGGGATTAGACCACACAGCGAGGTCACTGACAGGTGGCTATCTCCAGGCGCGGATCCAGGATTTCTTAGGGGAGGGGGCCCAACTTTTTTTTTTTTTTTTGCTCCCGAAAATTTTTAAAATCGCGCCGGCCGTTTATTTGGGGCCCAACCCCCTAAAAAGGTAAAAATCACGTGAATTTACATGATTTTTTTCTCAAGGGGGGGGGGGGCCGGGCCCCCGCCCCCCCCCCCCCCTGGATCCGCCACTGGCTATCTCATTAACTCAGCTATCAACTAACATAATAATAAGAGGATCATGGGGGACCAACAGGCACCGATTGGGGAAGTTTTCTATATAGAGGGAGCCAGTAGCTACAAGTAGGACAGTGAGGCTTTAAACATGGATCAAAGCAAGACAATTATATATAAGCCATCTTTATATCAATGGAAGAAATCAGAGAAGATACATGGAAAATACTAAGGTTCTCTGCCAGGAGAAGAGAAATACGGTCCTCCTCAATCCACAAGATGCAGGGTCCCACCGTAATACAACAAAATACAATAACAAAAATACAAAAATGTCTTAACACACATCAAAACATATACAACAAATAGGAAACAAAAACAAAACCGAAAAATACATTGTGTCTCATTAGGAATGGTATATAAGAAGAGGTTGCGTTTTCTTTTCACGTTTCCATTTTCCTCCATTTTTCTTCCCCCCCCCCCCCCTTGAGGCATTTCTATCCTTTGTGGTAGTTTCCCCTATACTGTTAGGTTAATTATAATTTCAGAAAGGATATTTGTCAACAACACTGTCTATACCCATGCACGATAAAGAAGTAAATACAAGCCAGTGAATAAAATTTGGTATACGCCACACCAGGTCACACTGATCTGTACGGAATTGTTTTCCATCGTACAGATCAGTGTTATGTCACATTAACTGTTTTTAGTGTCCCTTTATAGAAGGGACACTAACTGTTTTGACCGAAGAGCGCCCCCTATCTAGCCTAGAGAGGATTATAGGAAACTTTCCATTTCAAGGCACCAGGAAGGTGAGGAGTGAGGATACAGTTCTTATTTCAAATACCCAGCTTGAGATTATCAGGGCACGGTGCATGTCACCCCCCCCCCCCATTATGACATTTAAACAAGTCCTTGGCCCAGTCTTATAAAGAGTTGAAATTAATCGCAACATAATTATTAGCGATTGATATCATTCAATCGCAGCTATATACATAAGAAATAGGAGACTGCAAATTTGCGATTAGTGATTCGAGGATTTGCGATTGATTTGAATCAATCGCAATTCTTTATGATTATGACGGGGCCCAGGACTCACAAGCAGTAAAACAAATGTTCGTGTCTGCCACCAATGATTATTTATGTGAAGCTCTTGAATACTACTAGAAGCATTGATGGGGAAGGTGGCGGGGGAGGGGGGGGGGGGTATGTGACACACCCCCCTTTTTTTTACTGTAAACTTTAAGCCAGAAACTTGCTTGAAAAACCGTTGTTTACAATTTCAGTTTGTGATTTTACCGTAAAAGATCCACAGAAAGAGCCATATTATATCGTTGCACATGGGATTATCAATAGTAATACATCTCAGCGTGCATGCTTTTGATCTTTTGCCAATTAAGTGACATTTTTCGTTTCTGTTCTGCAAACGAGACAAATTGAAAACATAGCAACCCACCCTTCGGTCGCTTTCAATCTTGTTAAACGTGTATCTTAGTCCGATGACTCCCCCCCCCCCCCCCCAACCCAACACCCTCCCCTCTCCACACCAGCGCCCCTATATGGCTTGACCCACTTGACATCAGCTAGTGTACATGATTTGCTGTGACTTCCGCAAATTCACTGTGTCTCTTTGTATTACAGGGAAACCTGTCTATAAAGACCACACAAGGGAGACAAGAAAAGTGGTCTTTATAGGCAGGTGGTCTTTATGTACACGTTCCTTCTGTACATGTTTCAATGAGAAACCATTTTCAAGGGAAACAAAAAAATGTGGTCTTTCTATATAGGTGGTCACTAAAGCAGGTTTGACTGTATGCTAATATAATATGTATTGTCACGTTACGGCCTCGACTATTGAAATCTTTGTTTTAAGTTAATTTGAAGGAGGGGGGGGGGGTGAGCAGTTATGAAACTGAAATTCGTTCATCCCATGCCTCATATTTCTTCTGTACACTGCGTGAACTACAAATGATAATTTAAAATCTAATCATTTTGGTTAGGAAGAATAAACCAACGAAAATAGGTAAACTAACGACAGCTTCCACGTCAAACCACAACATTATATCACATGACACATGAATTATTTTAGGATCATTTTAATTGCTGAACCATGGTCGCCTGAGCTGAAACGAGCCTGTCTAAATGTGCTTTATCATCGGCTGTCTATACAGGGTTAGGAAATTAGCAGTAATTAGCTGAATTACAGCAAAGCTCACTCATAATGATACACATACTGACACACCACGATACACACACTGGCACACAAGGATACTTGGTTGAGAGTAGGGATGTCTGATGATTGCTGTTCAATGGCAAATCCAGGATTCCAGCCCCTTGCTGAGGAGGGGGAGGGGGGGGGGTGGGCACATGTAATAAATAAATATATGTTATCCTCTGACAAAATAATTAAAAGGTTCTTATTTGCTACGTTTATAGATTCCTTTTCAGTTGAAGTTAATGCCAGGGGCATGCGAACACATTTAACTGTTTTTGTAAACGTATGATCGGCTAGAATATTTTTGTAGGGCGGGGGGGGGGGGGCAGTCCCTTCAGTGTCTAGAATACCCCAGCAGTAGCCCTCCTGCACTGTGTTTAAGTGTGTTCTTATGCAATTTGAATATTCAAAACATTATGAAATGCTACCCATTTTATACTCGTGCATAAACGGAAGATAAAATAGTGCTATACTTTGAGTTAACAAAACTTAATACCCACCCTCGCTACACTTTTCTCTCTCTCTCTCTCTCTCTCTCTCTCTCTCTCTCTCTCTCTCTCTCTCTCTCTCTCTCTCTCTCTCTCTCCTCTCTCTCTCTTATCTCTCTCTCTCTCGCTCTCTCTCTCTATCTCGATCTCTCTCCTCTCATTTTCTCATCTTTCTCCCCATCTTCTTCTCCCCCTGCTCCCCATTCCCCCTTCCGTTGCCTTTATCATGTTTTTCTTTTTAAAAATCAAGAAAATTACAGCAATATACATGGCTTATAGTACAATTTAATAACTATTCACATTTTAAAAGTTATCAGTAATATTATCTCGATAGACAACAATTAATTGTGCATTTCGTTCATATAATCAATCAATGGAAATAAAGAACAACTATATTTAAAATACATAATTAAGTATTTTGATGTAAATTAATTCGCAGATTTAATGTGACTTTTCTTTTCAAGTTCGTGAGGAAAAAAAAAACATGATTAATTTAGAGCTAGATGTATTTTAGTTGCATACTATATGATTATGCTGGACATCACAAGAAATATACTTTCACGTCACAAAATTAGGCCTACCATTAGCAGATAGGAGAACATATCTATACTGCATGACCACAGGATTTGTCTAGATCCTGTTTCACAAAACTTGTCATCAGTGACAAATGATAGTTTTTGTTATAAGCTACTGAAATCCTTGCTTCTGATTGGTTATCAGCAGATCTGTCACTGATTTTTGTCATTTGTCATTGAAAAAGGGCTTTGTGAAACGTGTCCCTGGGCCATGTTTCATAAAAATGGTTATCAATAACAAATGCTGAATTTCTATGACAAATTTGCTGTCATCCAATCAAATGCCACGATTTCAGTAATTATCACGAAAATCACAGTAATTGTAACTCGTTATTGATAACAAGTTTTATGAAACGGGACATGATCATTGTATTCGTCTGGAGAATGAATAATATAAGAACTAGACGGTCTCAAAAGAACACATTCAAAATAAGATAGGGTGATGCTTATATACAATTCGTTTGTAACCGGGTGTACCTTAGCCACACCGCCAAAGCGACTTTCGACCGACTCCAAACCGATCAATTTTTAGCCAAAGGCATAATGCAATATTTTCGTTTGGTCTAGTGTCGGTCTAGTGTCGGTCTAGTGTCGGTCTAGTGTCGGTCTAGTGTCGGTCTGGTGTCGGTCTGATGTCGGTCTTGTCGGTGTGACTAAGGTATAGTTGTTTCCTCATTGTCAACCGATAATCATGATCGTAATGCCTTCTTGTATTTTCAACAGTATAATGGTGTAACCATGGATTTCCCCTAGCGAGTAAATCCATGGTTTAAGTTTGCGATATAAATTCATGCATCAAAGTTCATCTCGTGGATTAACCGACTTTCCCGATTAAAAAGGAATAAGCCTGATTGCGATCCAGTTTACGTGCATGGCCTTAATGTAAAACCCTGCGGTAATTAACAACATCTATAATTATGCTCTTAGCTTGTATGCTTTTGATAGTTTGCCAAACGGCCATTAATTTTACCCTATATATTATTCTTCTTCTAAAGAGACAAATACAAGTTCATATCGCCCACTGTGAAAGCAGTGACAGAATGATACAAAATGTTTGAATGCATATCGTTAATCAGCCTTATGATTCATAACAAGGAAACAAAGAAGACAAGAGTGTTGATTTGATTTGTGAAGTTACATTGTTGGTGAGATTTACCTCGTGTTTCCCCAAGACACACAAATCGGCCATAACCTTTCCAAAAGGATTATGGATATTTCATTCTAACCTGCATGTATTTAAAATGTATCTCTAAATGTTTACAGATTAAACTGGGACACTAATCATCTTTCAAGTTCCATACAGGAAAATGGTGAGTTCTGACGCAGGGATGTCCACACGAATCCTGGCTGTCATCCCCGAGGTCGACGACAGGGATCCACATCAAGATCGTCATCTATTTGGGATTATCATTGCATCACTGATCGAGGCACGTCATGTCACTTAAGGCATTAAAAATCACTAATACACGTCAAGGCGCCAAACCGACTCCTTTCCAACTCCAAACCGACCGCCTCTAAACTTATGCTATATTCACAAAGGTTCGTACGGACGATAATTTCGTACGAATTCTCCTTGTTTTTCCACTGTCTTCCCGAATTTCCATTGTCTGAAAATCGTTCGTACGGCGTTCGTAGCAGTTCGTAATGGCATTTTGTGACCGAGGCTTTAGTTATTGGTGCATGGTAATGTATTTTTGTGTTCGATCTGTCGTCTGTCTGGTGTCTGGGTTTGGTCACTGGGTGTGACCGGGGTTTCAGTGCACAGGGGGGCGTTTCACAAAACTTGTCATCAGTGACAAATGACAGTATTGTTATAAGCTACTGAAATCCTTGCTTCTGATTGGTTATCAGCAGATTTGTCACTGATTTTTGTCATTTGTCATTGAAAAAAGGCTTTATGAAATGGGTCCCAGCTGTATAGTCTTCGTCAGGTGGAAGGCGATTGGGCTCAATGGATAGGAAGATAGTCTTAGGACCTAAATGACTCGGATTCGAGAACAAGTTATGGCGCTAACAGTATCGGGGCGTCATTTTAATGAAGGCATTTTTATCACAATGTCACTCACAGTCATGAATAAGCAATCACATAATTATGATGATCATAAATTATTTTCTCTGTTCCTGTGATCGCTGTGACCACTCGACGTCTCAGTAAGCTGAGCTAAATCATCCTGTCTTCCGTCATCTATCTCATCTTCCTCCTCAACAATCTGATCACCATCATCGTGAACTTCTTCCTGTAGTCCCATATCAGACATTTCCTGTTGGGTCGAGCTCTGTCCGACGTTGACTACAAACCCTGCGGGCGATGCGCCGCCCTGTGACGACATCGCCTCATCGTATGACGGTGGAGGGGCGAGATGCGCGTACGGCGGTACGAAGTGCGTCTTGAGAGCGAAAGGTCCGCGGTACGCGTAACTTTCCCTCATCGTATTGACTAGCGGTGTCGAGAGTGATGTGGAGAGCGATGTCGAAGCGACGTGAACACTTGCTGATGGTCGCGACGTCCTGTAGGCACCTATCTGATAGAAGTCGTGCGGGTCGGGTCGCGATGATTGTGTGCTGTGGGACATATTGTGCTCGGAGCGAAGGAGGGAGCAGCGATCGTTGCACTTCTTGAGGCATTTGTAAAACCAGGCACAGCATGCGATGAGACCGAGCACCGTGAAGATGGCCAGCATCCAGGGGAACAACTGGGAGAGATCGGCTGCAAACAAGAAAAGACAAATTTAGACTAAGAGATCTGCCATAAAACTCTAACTGTAATTAGTGACATATGGGTCCAGCCATTTAGGGGGAACTGTAGTCATTGGGAGGGGGGGGGGGGGGGGGTGTAGGGGCTATTAAAATGCGTACTATATATTATACTAGTTATATTAATTGGGGGGGGGATGAGAAATTAGGACAAGAGAGAAATGAGAGGGTGAAAGATAGCGTATAAAGAAAACCCTTTGTTCATCCTCAACACCGCTTTGAGTGAGACGATGTTGCCCAACCACAGTGATGCCGACGCCCTCTCAATGTTTCCATCCACGCTACGCCACTGGTCTATACATCTATCTAGCGTATATTTAGCGTATTCACCATTTATCCTCATCCACCCCTCCTCCTCCCCCTTCTCCCTTCTCCCTTTCCCCCATTACACCAGGGTAGACCACTGTATGGGGAGAGTATAAGCGCAGGGAAGTTTGCCAACAAACATGAAAAAAGGGAAAGAAAAATGTTACAAAGGAAAAAGATTTAGGCGTTACCCGAAGTTTGAGAGGACAACAAGGTGAATAATAATTGGCACTAATTCATCAAGGGACTTTGTATAAGTCATCGTTATGGGGGATATAGTTAAAGAACAGTAATTGCATGCAAGAGTTGCAATTATTGTCAAACCTGGACTTTTACATATTTTGAATGTCTTGGGTGAAAAAGAAAGTAGAATTAAAATGAGAATAGGAAGAAGAAGGAGAAGAAGAAGGAAAAGGAGAAGGAGAAAAAGAAGGAGAAGAAGAAGAAGAAGAAGAAGGAGAAGAAGAAGAAGAAGAAGAAGAAGTAGAAGAAGAAGAAGAAGAAGAAGAAGAAGAAGAAGAAGGAGGAGAAGAAGAAGAAGAAGAAGAAGAAGAAGAATGATGAGGCGGAGGAGGAGGAGGAGAAGAAGAAGAAGAAGAAGAAGAAGAAAGAGGAGGAGAAGAAGAAGAAGAAGAAGAAGAAGAAGAAGAAGAAGAAGAAGAAAGAGGAGGAGAAGAAGAAGAAGAAGAAGAAGAAGAAGAAGAAGAAGAAAGAGGAGGAGAAGAAGAAGAAAAAGAAGGAGAAGAAGAAGAAGAAGAAGAAGAAGAAGAAAGAGGAGGAGAAGAAGAAGAAGAAGAAGAAAGAAGGAGAAATGAGAAGGGGAGGAGGAGGAGAAAGAAAGAAGAGAAGGAAAGCGCAAGTCCTCTTTCATTACGATGTTTTGAAAAATCAGGTTGCGTTACTAACTTCTACTGCAAGGGAGCCTCTGGGACTTTTCTGGGTTACAATTATTTTTACTGTCGGATCGTATAGTTCGTATGCTGGCCCACTTCAAATTAAAAATGCATAAGTTTGCAATGATAAAGTATCTTACCATCATACAAATCAACGAAATACGCTCACATTAATTTTTATAAGGGGGAGGGAGGGAGGGGGCTGACAATCATGTGCACAAACATGTTCACGAATTTCAAGATGAAGGAGACCGAGAGAGAGAGAGAGAGAGAGAGAGAGAGAGAGAGAGAGAGAAAGGAAGGGGGTGGGGGAGGTTACCGGTTTGTCTACATAATACGAGAGTGTGAGTGAGAGAGAGAGAGAGAGAGAGAGAGAGAGAGAGAGAGAGAGAGAGAGAGAGAGAGAGAGAACTTCAACAAGCAAGTGTTCAAGATACGTTCCTTTGGATTTTAGTTTGAGAGCACCATCTAATTCCGTTAACGAACAATAATTGAGTCACCGGACGTACCGGATAAGAAATCGAATTTAAAAAAAGATTCAAAGGAAAACATTTTTAAAGATGGTACTGATTGTGTCTTCAGCGGCAATATAGTTTGTTAACAACAAATTTTGTATATCAATCATTATTTTGTACTGACTATATTTTAGACGAATTTCCCCTAAACTGCATGCTTAACAGAAAAAAGAAAGAAAGAAAGAAATGAAAGTGAGAAAACATTACCATGAAACATGACGGAGCCTCTGAAATTCACTCGACCTAAGAGAGAAAAATCGCGCCCTCTATCGAGAAACTCTCTATGACGTCCTTTAACGCCGTTGAGTTGAGACATAGCTTGATGACGTCATGGTTTGGAAGTCAAGTTCGTCATCCTTAAGAGAGGGACAATCCTTTGTCGACTGCATGGTAAGAGAAGTAAACGGGTTAAACGTAGTTAATGAATCATAATAGATTGTTCCTAAGCGAAGATCTAATATTAGCGCATCAGATAATTCTTTTGCGTAGGAAGTTGGCACATGTGACGCTCGTTTTCTATTTCAATTCAGCCACAGAAATTAATATTTCCTACATTTTGCAAAGACTCGAGATTTTAGATAAACAGTTTCCTGTTCTTCTTTAAAAAGGGCATTATGAACATCAATGTTCCATAATTATGTATTTAACGTTTCACTTTGAATTCATATTTCAGGTTCGTTCGTTCGTGGCTCCTTAAATCAAGATAGTTATGTAAAGTTCCTTAATTACATTAAATTAAATTATGTGTCAGGTGAGGACTGTATTCGAGGAAAATTCGACGTACATTTTTTTTACAATAACGATCATCATTACATGGTGAAATTGGAGATACCTTGGCCAGTGGTAATGTTAATTTGATTCGAAATACAAATGTAATCTTCTTTTTTTAAAACTTGTTTGTTATTTTCTGATATTATGTAGTCATAGTGTCATCCTTTATCAGAAAAAGGAAGGAGTTTCGGTTAAAACATTTTAAAATCTCAAAACATGGTATCAGATCCCAAATGCAAACTTTTGACCAACACGTCATAGTAAATGTACTTGTATAATCAAAATCTTTAAAAGCAAAACAAATTATTTTAAACATGATTTTTAAAATCCGTTGAGTGTCTGTAAGAAATCTAATCATATTTGAAGGTTTTACATAACCTGGGATGAAAGGAATATTAAACATCATTTCATTTTTGGAACATGATGATAAATATAGCACTATTAACAATAACAATTATACGAAAGTTGCTGCACTGTATGCAGTAGGTTGACGCTTCTTAAATCTACATACTATTCAGCTGCTCGTGCCTAAATTGATTTCGTTTAAGCGGGACTGCACTACTTGTAGCTACTTCCGCCCTCTATATAGCAAACAATGCAGAAGCGGTACCCGTTGGTCCCCCATGACCCCCTTTTTTCTTATGTTAATTAAGAGCTGATTTGATTAGATAACCACCTGTCAGTGACCACACTGGGAGGTCTAATACCTCCTGGCCAAACTAGTGCAGACAGGCTTTAATGAAAATTGTAATATACAATTGATTGTATTATTTAACAATTAATATTTCGTTTTATAAATTTCCCTGCATTTGATGATTGAGTGGTCAACTGGTCAGTCTGACCACTCATTTCACCGTCTCATTTCTTGGTAGGGCTATTTTTAGGATTGCCTGACCTTTCAACAAGCGGAAGGAACTTGGACAGCATCCAATCCAGAAAGGATATTATATCCCGCAGAGCTACCCCTGAAAGATTCCCAAAATTCACCTGTCTTCCTAACTGAGCCCTTGTATGGGAACATTCATTAACCCCCCCCCCCCCACATCCAGGAACCATTTTTTGTTTAATGAAGTGTAATGAAAAGATAATTAGAGGGCGTTACTACGGCAAGCTTGATTCCTCTAAAGTTAATAGTGCCTATCATTTGGCGAGAGAAGGACCACATACCTAAAACCATTTCAGTCACAGTTCCAGATATTTTCATGAGGTGGGGGGGGGGGGGGGTGGGATAGGGGGGATAGGGGGGGGGGGGGTGTTAACATAAAATGACTAGCCGAAGGAGGTTCCGAGGCGTGCTTCCCTTACGAATTAGCCTGTATTATCAGTTGGTCAGGTATAGGGATGTGCCATTGGTTGTATGCCGAGAGGGGGGCATTAAAGGGATTGGGTAACTTTGTCTCAGATTCTGAAACAAAATCCTGGATATATCTCATGCTGCAATAATAATTACAAACCTTTAGGTCAGTCAGGAACCTCGTGACTTTTACAAGCCGATCGCCTGTCTAATTATCTAGATATTTATGATTGGAAATCGAAATCAAGTTTTGCGTTTTTCTAACGGTTTTCATAACACTACAGTCTATTGGGGAAAATGAGTATGGTAAAACCGGTCCGTCAAAGACTTTTGCTTTTTGAGGCACTTCTTGACCGTTTTGAAGCGCATTTTTTTTAAGGGCTTCAATATAACAACATATCACAGACACTGATAACACGTAGGGCCTTGCATCTCAGATTTAACATTGTTAAACGATGCCTTTAAATCATAACAAGCCTTTGCAGTTCTGGAAAGGTCATAGGTCAAGGGTCAGAGTATGTGAATAAAATTACAGAAAGAAAAGATAAGTAATCGAACTGTTCCCTTTGTCGAGATCCTTTTTAAAACACGAAGCAGCGTCAGATTCTCTTCTTCTGCCGACTTTTCCAAATGAATAGTGAGTGGTTTTGTTCCTCTCTCCTCCCCTGTTTTACACTCGGCCATGTTAATTCATTTTAAGTCTTTCGTTATGATATTCCATTTTTAACGATTCATATCACCAACGACAATAATTTTCAGTTGTTAAACCATTGCGAAGCTGAGAAACCGAAACATTCATAGATTGTCCTAAAAATGTTTTGTTTATGTACTTGATTATACATAGTCAATCTACTTCAGCGTGTTTAGCACTCGTGGAACATATTGTATGACAATACAGATGAGACTGTTCTACAAACATGCCTTTGATACTCATCTTCTTTTCAGTATACTGAAATAAATTATCAAAAAACTTATGCAGGCTTTTGCACGACAGAATCTGTAAATACAAATCTGTCACTCCCCCTTTTCTTGTCATGACCAAGTTAACAATAATTATTCTCCTTCACCTAACACCCATTTCAGGCTTATTTACCATAATTATATTAGGGTCATGAAGTAAGTCATATGTGTATGCTTCATAGCTTTATGCTTTATAGCGGAGGTTAATACGCGGTTTGTATACAGGAAAAACAGTATTAGTAGTCATTACTTGGCAATTTGCACCCTACCTAGGCCTACTACAAACCCTGAGTACCTGACACATGTATACGATACATTTGACAAGATTACCCTTTCATATCCCTGGTAGCCCCCCCCCCCCTCCCCCGCCGCAGTGCCCTCATTACAAAAAGCCCCTCCTATTTGTTAGCTGATTCCATGACATATTATTTGATATTTTACCATGAACGTATAATTCGTGATTTTGTACGCTCTGAATGGATGTGTTCTTGTCTTTGCCGAATTAATTACATAATAATAATCATAATACAGATGACGTTGAAGTGTTGAAGTTCGTGTTGAAGTTCTCAAAACCCTTGATTGGCCTCGTGGGCATGGTTTGATCCAATTAATACACAACCTTCAGTTCGAGAGACTATAAGCTTATAAGTTTCATATCCAAATGAAACTTGAACACCAGGGGGGTGTTTCACAAAGATTCTAAGTCGAACTTATCTCTAAGTTGGACTGGACTATTATGGAAAGCCGTTAGCATCTATGAAAATATTTTATAAAAGTTATTTTAAAAGGAATAACAATGTTGATACAAATCATTCATATTTTCTATTATCAAGGAGATTTCATGTTCTTGATGTGGAATTTATGAAAAGTCAAAAATACTTGAATTTTCGCTTTTTAATATATTTCATTATCAGGCTACAAATGGCTTTGCATATTATTTAAGTCCAAGTTAGAGTTAAGTTCGACTTAGAATCTTTGTGAAACACCCCCCCCCCCCACCCTGAATACAAAAAAGCTGCAACGTTTCACTTGTCATGCTTATACCATGTATACATGATATAGATAGACGAATACGACACATAACTATAAAAATACATTTTAAGATATTATTATTATTAATATTTTAAATATACCTGCAAACGGTATGCATTTAAACATACAAGCGAGTACATTCAGCATGTTCAGTTGACCAGTAGTTTGACTTTGATACAAACCAAAGAAAACAAAAAAACAAAAATAAAACTTCAGAATGATTGTCTCAAAAAATCGTCATAACGATTATCCATGCTGTACTCTATCATAGTTGGACATGGACTGACCCAAATGTATACAATGAAAACAAAAACAAAACAAAAACAAAACTTCAGAATGATTGTCTCTATAAATCGTCATAATGATTATCCATGCCGTACCCTATCACATTTGAACATGGACTGACCCACATGTACATGGGAGGATATCCAAACAGTTGAGGAAGCTCTAAGTCTGAGGCCAAGCTAAGATGATCCTCTATCAATCCCATAGATCACATTAGGATGCATTATAGATTAAAGGGGAAATGAAAGAGAGAGAGAGAGAGAGAGAGAGAGAGAGAGAGAGAGAGAGAGAGAGAGAGAGAGAGAGAGAGAGAGATTGGGGTACACGGTCATCTCATCTACCCTAAAATGTCAGTTTTAAAGGAGGGGGGGGGGGGAGCAACCAAGCGAAAAATTGGGTCAGTTTATAACACAACCCACTCCTTTCATACTCTGAACATGTTAGACTACGTATTTTTTATTTTCATATTTTTTATGAAAAGTGCTAAACATGAAATGGATCGGTTTGACAATGAAGGTAAATCTTGGGGAAACTTTTTTGTTCATAGAGTTTATCTATCAATTAAAATAATTTATATTAACATCCTCCAAAGCCTATGATCTTTATCCCTCTTTTCCTTAAAGACAAATTCTATCAATGTGATTAAAATAGCCTCCCAAACGTTCTTAACTTATTTTCATATTAATTTCTCCACATCTATTGATGTGTTTTATTTATTCATTTCACTTATTCCATGTTTTCGAATATACTAGTCACATGAAATGTTAAAAACAATTATTTATTGAGACCGAAGGAAGGGCGTTCAATCCCTTTCGGAGTACTGAGAAAGGAAAGCGAAGATTATTCGAGATTCTACGCGGCTTTGATAAGGGGGCATTTTAAAGCTTGTACCGTAAGTTGGTAAAATGGATTCGAGTTGATCTCAGTATTTGAATTCATGTTGGGCCAGACGGGATGGGCGTATAAACACAACAGGTGGTTTTGAAGACTAAGTATGGTGCCCTATCAAAATGCATGTCGTTCATAAATACATGAATCGCTACAAAAGTGTACCATCTGAAAGCATGGACCCCTACAGTCACCACCACTACCACCACCACCAAACTCCATTGAAACTATTGGAATAATCAAACTTAGGTGAGGTTATTGATGTTTTTCCTGTGTATTGATAACTTTATTCTAATTTCAGATATTATTTTCAATTTTCTCGGCAGATTTAGAAACTTCATGATATTATTCTCCCTTAACAAGACGAGAACAAAAAGAGTTCGGCTATCTTGTCGGAAGAATGAGGCCCTGCGCTCCTTTCCCTCCTACTTTCTTAAAATATCTTAATAACGACGATTTTCACCAGGTGACAGAGCATGTCGAATGCCTGATAAATCTACCGTAAGAGTGCTTCAAACGCCCCGTCCGTCCAACATTTCTCAGACAACACGGCTGTCTGTTTGGATGGGCGATTCATAAGGGTCTAATTAATGATTCATCACCAATAGGTGATGCGTGTAAGGAGTTCGATAGGCCTTCAGAGTAGGCCCATGGTGCCTTGTCAAGAAGTTTCCCCCCATAAGAGACAAGGAATGGTCTAAACCATTAGTGCCATGATCATATTATAAAATCAGCCTGTATCACTTTGTTCATTATAGATATCAATTGGAAGAAAAGACAATTGCTAAACTTTTCAAACTATTGAAATGTTTGCAACGCGTCTCCATCTCCTTACTGTATAGCCACAATCTCAACTCCTTGCGGTTTCAAAATGTTGTCAGTATTTTGGCCCGATAAGTTTCAAAGTATAGAGTATATGACAGGAATGATGACATTAAGCCAAAAACAAATATAGAACATTAAACTATCTATCAACGATCTGGAGTAGTCACTTCCTTTTGAAATAGTCATATCAGATTAATGCCAGCTGGGTATTTTTTTAATAACTATTATAGATTCAGTCTTCTTTAAAATATAGGGTAGTCCTTTCAGAGTCACAAGGCCTGCTTTTCAAAGGAGCCCTGTAATGAATTAACATTATTGTTAACATTAGATGAATTAACATTATTAATGGAACCACATTGCGTACGTATAGCTTTTAATTACTCTAAATTTATGACACTCAAATTACAAATTGTCAATAGCAAATGAAAAATCCACAATATAAAGGAACAATTTTAACTCACCAAAGAACAGATGTATAAATCCAACAGCAGCTCTGCTCGTATCACTTTACCCCGTTAATAATGTGCTCCAGAAACAAAGAGCGTTACATCCAACCATTGACGTCATTTTAATCAAAACATGCCAAAAGTTCAACTCTAAAACGAGCTCACAACCTCGCGTAGCTATCAAGTTACGAGCTCATGCAAATTACCCCAGTGTAGTAAAACATGAGAATGAGCGTATAGGGGGAGCCCCTTGTAAGTTGTTCTACAGGCTGTCGATGTGCGGTAACGATGAAGGTTGGTCATGCGGTAGCTCGTGCCGTGACTCAGCCAGACGCTCACGGGAAGGGGGCAATTTTAGATGTGAAGGGTGCATGGATCTGTAAGGATTTAGGGACGCACTAACACTGATTAGCAAGCCTTGCTCAGGGCAGGGGCGTGTTAGAGCCCTAGAACACCCAAAGTGGCGTAGCCAGCAGGAATATGCGGGGGCGTAAAACTGTCTGGAATGAAGGGGGGAAAAAAATCCCCTTACGATGGATTAAAGGGGCGACATTATTTTATGGATGATAGGAAAGCAAAATTTGTTATATAAAGAGTTGCTTACCTAATACTTCTTCTACTACTACTACTACTACTACTACTACTACTACTACTACTACTACTTCCACTACTAATATTACTACTACTACTACTACTACTACTTCTACTTTTCCTCTCCTTTTTCTTCTAATTCGCCTCCTTCTCCTCCTTCTACTTCTTCTTCTTCTTCTTCTTTTTCTTCTTCTTCTTCTTCCCCCTTTTCTTCTTCTCCTTCTCTCTCTCTCTCTCTCTCTCTCTCGCTCACTCTCTTTTTCTTTCTCTCTTTCTTTCTCTTTCTCTCTCTCTCTTTCTCCCTCTTGTTTTCTTCTCCCCATCTCCCCCTCCCCCTCTCTTCCCCCTCTCTCTTCATAGAACATTTAAGTTTATTTTTCCTCATTTTCTCTATTATCAAAGATCATAGGCACACGATAAAATCATATCCTCAAATGATGACCATCCAATGTAGTATCGTCGTCTTGTGTAAGTGCGCCCCCTGTCGTTACACCAATCCTGTTGGACTTGAAAGGCACTTCTTGGTCATTTTGAAGCGCATTTTTGTAGGGCTTCAATATTACACCATATCACAGACACTGATACCACGTAGGGCCGTGCATCTCGGATTTAACATTCTTAAACGATGCCATTAAAGATAAGCTTGAGTTCTGGTAAAGATAGAAAACAATTGTTCACAGAATCCAATAAAACTTACAATGAATGTTCAAGATTACAAATATATTACATGTGCCAACCGATTTTGGTAGAAAATATATAGTGGCTTAGTAATCAGCATAGAAAGATAAGGAAATCAAGGTAAGTAGGCTCGACACCATGTGCTCATATGTGCAAATGAGAGTTGCGATTTTTATTGAAGATGATTTCCAGCTAGTTTTTATTTTACTGGTTCAAGAAACCAATCTACCGGAGGGTAAACAATCCAGAATAAATTAAAGCCCTGTTCTCTCGACAAACGATTCCCATACCAGAGCTCAAGATTAGATTTAATGTCATCTCATATTTTTAATTATATTATGAACAAACTTATCATCAATGATTGGCTTAAAGGAAAGAGGGAATTGCGGGGGGGGGGGGGGGGGCTAATGCTCGAAAAAATGATGTGTTTTATTTGTTTTATACAATGATGTTTTATAACATGATTTTACTAATGACCGGTCATTAGCAAAAATTACGTGTTAGGCAAAATAAATGCCTGGTCACGTGTACGCTCTCAACCAATCATTTAATTGGGATCCGCTCCATCATCGTATAAGGTAAATATAGCAAAATCCATCAATTGGGCTTCTCTTCTGAATACTCTCTCCTTTTCTATTTATTTTCCGCCGGAAATCTCTGGTATGGTAATATATACATTTGAAGTGGATACTCCTGTATGCTCTAGTAGTCCATTGAGTGGACAGTGCGAATTACCAAGAAACAGACTTACTCAAAGCGAATATATTTCTCTTAATTAAGATGAGAGTAAAAGGCTGTATAACAAGCTATTGCTCAATTCCAATGGATAAAAATGGTAAAATTCCATTTTAAAGCTGGTGTCAAAATAGTCATAAAGATCGTTAAAAGAATACTTGGCGACGAGGATGGGATTCGAACCCACGCGTGCAGAGCACAATGGATTAGCAGTCCATCGCCTTAACCACTCGGCCACCTCGTCTGAATATATACTATAATACAGATGTATTTGCATTATTACAACAGACTGTTTTTGTGTAAGCGTAATGAATAATGTGTACGAAGTTAAAACACCTGTTACCATTTTGGCGGCTTGGTTATCATTGTATTATCTCATAGTACGATAGAGTTATGCTGCACGCAATTGGTTAATAATAGAAATGAATAACGTCCCAATATGAAACGTTGAGTAGGGCCTATGAAGAGCATCTGTCTTTTGCTGTGTTCATAAGTTTTTTCCCATTTTTACATGTACAAGCATATATTTACTCAAATTTGGGGGCCTTTATTGTCAAATGTCAGAGAAAAAACAGCCCTCCTTTTTAGTCAGATGTGATTATAAAATAACCAGATATGAACTCATCACCAATTTAAATATAAATAAAGAAAGAAAGAAATAATAGTGTACAGTGTTTTGTACCCTCATATAAATGCGTCTTGTAAATCCAAATAATTGTATTTCTATACTGATGGAGAAACGAAAAATGTCACTAAAATGTGTACATTACCAAGTCATAATCAGACCACAGTGAAGAGGATCGTTGGAAATACCTTCTCGCAGTTTTTTAAGTCAAAATTTTCATTTTCTTTACCCAACTTCCCCATCCCCTCTATCTCTCTCTCTTCTTTTTTTCATATACTATCTCTTTCGTACTCTCTCTCTCTCTCTCTCTCTGTCTCTCTCTATCTCTGAAATAGCCCCATTCTTGTACCTTTTTTCCTCTCCTCTATCATTTGTTCTTTCCATCCCATCCCTCCCTCTCTCTCTCTTTCTCTCTCTCTCTCTCTCTCCTTTCTTTCTCTCTTTCTTTCCATATCTCTCTTCCCTCTGCCTCTCTGCATCCCCTCTCTTCCTTTTGTCTCTACCCCTCTCTCTCTCTGCCACTTCTCTCTCTCTCTTTACCCCCTCTCTCTATCCCTGCCCCTCTCTGCCTTTCTCTCTCTGTCTCTCCGTCTCTCCTCTTTCCATGCAGCCTTATTTGTTTCTATTTGTCTCTCCCAATGCTTTCTATCTGTCTTTACATCTTGTTCCCCCTTTCTTTGTCTTTCTTCATTTTATAGCTGTTATCTCACGTAACCGCTGGAGTAGTCGTTAATGGACTCATGAATTGAGGTTTAAAAAGTCAAGAGTGCTCAAAGCGTTGCTCATTGGTCTTTGAATCACCCGGGCGCGCAACTGAATGAGTTCAACTCGGTCACGTGATCTCGCTTAAGCAAGAGGCGTCGTACGAAGACAAGATACACGTAGAACGGGGGGGGGGGGGGGGGGGGGTGGCTGAAACACCGAAACTCGGAGTAGTATGCGAAATATTAATTCAAAAGTTTCATAATAAAATCCATTTAAAATCGAAATATTTCTTGCTTATTCAAGGGAAGGTTAGGCTCTATGAGAGATGAGGGCGTGGTTCCTTAAAATCAATTCTTGAACGTTATTACCCATGTATAGAAGCCAGAATCATTTCTCTACAAGGTACATCATTGTGGATAAATTGATACTTGGGATTGATTAAAGCAAGATATAAACTTTAACAATGAGTAAGAAATATGTGCTACTCGATTGAAAGTTTAATACAACATAATATTTTTCAAATGGTTATGTAATCAGACACAATTAGGTAAACTGTTAAATGGCTCAACTTAACCTATTCTGGACTATGTCATATGACGACGCAAAATCTATGCAAAGTTTTCTTTTTGCTATAACGAAAGTATGTTTTAATTGAGTAAAATATTTCTAGAAGGATAATTGCGAACTTTTTGTATACGTAATGTACGTGTGTTTTATACAGTGTGTATGGTGCGTGCCTCTTTTAACAAGAAACCTCAGTTAGATTTGTGTGCCATTTAATTTCTATCTGAAAGCCAACACGATCTATTGACTATGCGCTAACACCCAATCACCTGGAATGGCCCGTGTAATGAAAAATGTTGGGAGGTGCTTTGCCCCTTAAACTCACCCCTCATCTAGCAATATAGCAATGCAGGTCTGTATTAGAAGTTGTCATGAAACATTTATCATTGACCGACTCGACATAATCTGGAATTCCATCAAGATTAGGCAAGTCTTTCTGTTTCATCGTCCATAATTTTGTCGTTCCTGTTATTCTGTAACACTGCTTGTTACTTTCATCGTCGCCATAGGCCGAAACAGTTGATTCCTTTATATGATGTTGAATCAAGAATTATTATCAACGTTAACGAGAAATAGCTGATGGGTAACGGGTGACGCGGCTGTTTTTTTAACAGAGTAGCTGCAATCGAAGGTAAATATGTATTAAAATCAGTATGTTAGTTGAAAAGGTGTTATGTAATGTTAAATAGATTGATTGATGTGTTGAATGGATGTTCGGGTAATGCGTGGATTGGTTGATTAGTAGATAATTAGTTAAGTGGGTGAGTGTAATAATAGGTTAATAGTTGAATAATTCGTCCTTGTTTTCACGAAGTGACGGTAGTGAGGAAAATCGTAACGCAAAGTGAATGCAATTTTTTTTCACTACCGTCACTTCGTGAAAACAGCGACGAATTATTTGAGTAATTTTTTTGATTGATTGATTGATTGATATAGATCAATTGACTGATCGATTGATGAATTGAGTATTGATTGATTGATTGATTAATTGACTGATTAATTGATTGACTGATCATTTGGCTGGTTGACTGATCGATTGATGAATTGAGTGATTAATTGATTGAGCGATTGATTGATTGACTGACTGATTAATGGATTGACTGACGATTGACTGGTTGACTGATTGAGTGATAAATTGAGTAATTGATTGATTCTTAACTGAGTAATATCGATTTAGTGAGGGAGTGAAGAAGTAATAATTTTGAATGGTTTGACCATTCTGAAGAAAAAGAGGGGCGTGCGGGTGGCAAACCATTCTGGCCTGTATACAAATGAAATTGATCGAAGAAAAAAAATATTTTACTAAACGTCATTGACCTTGTGTATATGGATGGAAAGAATACATATCACATGAATGATGTATTTGATTCCACATTTGTCGTTACGTAAGCCCGGTTAGCTCAGTCGGTAGAGCATCTGACTTTTAATCAGAGGGTCGCGGGTTCAAGTCCCT